TACAGATCTTAATTTGACTAATTAACTCGTCTGTAATCGCTTACGTAAGAATCACCAAGCGGAACTCTATTTCCGCCTGATTCGCGTTCGCCAGGCACTGACGTCATCCTGACGTCCGCACCTTTATTTCCTTTTTTTCGTGAATTTTAAATATATTTCCTTTTTATTTCCTAGTATAAAATTTGTAAGAAAATCGTATTCATTGAGAAAAATTCTAAATAATTACCAGATATTATATTACATCCTTGTGATCGACCTGGAAAATTACTGCTATTTTTGGAATTTTTATTGAATTATAATTGATATATTTATTTAGAAATACTTCTAAATATCTAAAAATTCATATTTTCTAGTTTTATAAATTTTATATTTGCGTGATTTAATATACAACGACTAAGTCACGTCAGATCTCATGAGAGATAGAGAGAGAAGAGAGGTCTCACAAGAGGAGAGAGAGAAATAAGATGAAAATAAAAGAAGAGAGAAATACGATCAACCCATTTTCTCAGATGAATGTGTGCTCGAGGATTCACACACATGACATGAGGTCAATCGTGAATATCTCTAGCTTGTTTTAGCCATTGAACGCTCATTAATCAACATTTAATCTCGATGATTTTGTGTTCAGAAATAGAAAAATACTCATTATTAATAGAATGCTGAGAATGTGAATATGTCAAGATTTGATTGTAAAAATCAATAGAAAACAAGTTATAAATGATCTTAACTTGATCTCAGATGGGTTTTAGAGGATCTAGGAAAAAAAGGAAGATCATTCATCAAGTTTTGAATTAGTTTTACTCTCCTTTCAATCGAAACATGCATGAAACAAAAATAATTTTCTATAAAATATAAATAAATAACAAAAACAAGTAAGTAAATATTGAAAGCAGGAAATAAATCATTGCCCAAGTTTAGTCTGCCTCCTAGGCAACTAGAGATACCAATGTGGCAGCTTGGTTTTGTTTGGTCATGCCACACCATGTCGAAAGTCACAGAAGTATCGTCTGGAAGTGTTGCACCACCTGCCAAAGAGATCCGCCAAAAGAAGAGTTGATCACAGTGTCACTATCGTCTAGGGAAAGAAGGGAAGAGCTGACCACTCGCCAGAGGCCTTGAGTGTAGTTAGGGGAGGAAGGAAGAAGTTTGCCGATTGCTAGAGATGTTGATTGTGCAAAAGGAAGAACAAATTGTCATATTCACGACTATTGTCAGAGATGTCGATTACGTCGATAGATCACTTTATGCATCTGGTATCATGGCGGTTCGCTAACTGTAGGATTAGGCTAACCAAATGGCTATGCTGAAATAGATGAAAATGTTTAATCCCACATCAAGAATATTTCGGAACATATGCTGAATATAAACTAAAGCTATGTCTCTTAGTAAAGATCCCTTCTCTTGAAATAAAATAACGCCCAAGACCATATTGGGAGAAAGTAATAAGGTGGTTTGCCCTCGCATGCACACATGTGTACATGCACTCCTTGCCCCACAACTAGTTGGCCACTGAGACATGGAAGGGGAGTGACGCACACGTGCGTGGAGCGAGGCCTTTGCTAGTCGAGCCTAACTCGTGGCTCCCTCGGTCTGGGTCTACCCACTTGACCATTGTCCCTCCTCTGAGTTAGTTGTTGAGTGCTAGCTTGCCAACAGGTGGAAGAATTTTTATATTTTATTATTTTTACTTTAATAATAAAAAATTACACTAAGTATTCTAACTTTAGACTTTCAAAATTAATAATATATCCTATATTTATTCTACAAGTTAACAAAATAAAATCAAATAATAAAACTAATTAAAACACATAAATCTAGCTTTAACATTTATGATGAGCAAATTAGTATCAATTTTTTGTCATCATTGTCAAAAATGATTATGATCTATACAATATTAATTATCTTTCATTCTTTGGCTCTATTAGGCACTAGGTTTGGTTTTCTTTCTTGTTCTCTTCAATTATCAAAAAAATAAAAAGAAAGTTGAGAAAGCTCAATGTGGTAGGATTTAAATATAGAGGAAAAAATTGAGAATTGAACAAAAAAAATTAGGTAACTAAGTAAAATCTCATTTGTTTTTTTTTCTTTAGATTGATGCTTGCTCAACAAAAAAAAATCTTACATTTTCTATTTTTTAATTTTATATTTAATTTATTTGTTTATCTTGTTAAAAGTTATTTTCCTTGTTTTTCACAAATTTTGCTTATTTGATATAAGAAACTAAAAAATCTTACTTACAACATATGCATGGTAGGAGATCATTAAAACCATCACTACTAGAGATCCTTCTTGAAATTGATATACATTTATATCCAAGGTTGAAAAGTTCTAATGAAGGCACAAAAAAGCAAGGCATATTAAACCCACCCAGATAACTCAAAGACTATTGCAATCCAACTCCACAAGTAGATATTTTACAAAATCGAGTATGTAGACAAGATATTAAACCAAATATCTTTCAAATGTTATCATCTTTTCATGGTCATTTTAATAAAAAATCATATCGACACTTAAAAGAATTCTAAAGAGTTTGCTCTATGGTTAATGATAAAGATGATATCTTAAGACTTACACCGTTCTCATTGTATTTAAAAAATGAAGCTAGCTACTGATTATCAATAGTAGAAAAACATTTGAGGACATGATTGGGAATGCAACAAGAATTTTTGAGTAAATATTTTCTTATAGGAAGAAAATTCAATGAGGAAATCTATCAAGGGATTTACCCAAATCTATAGAGAACTCTTACATGAGGAATGAGATAGATTAAAATAATTATTAAGAAAATCTCTCCATCATGGAGTACCTAATTAGAAATTAGTACTAATTTTCTACAATGAACTTCTACATTAGAACAAACAAATGGTAGATGCTTCAAGAGGAAAAATATTTATGAATAAGAGTGAAGATGAAGAATACCAACTACTTGAAGATTTAAGTGAGAGTTCATTGAATCATCATCCTCTTATAATGAGAGTAATGGATCCCCTAGGAGAGGAAATATATGTGAAATAGGAAGATATAAAGATAAGGAGCTAATAGCTGAAGTGAGTGAAATTCATTAAAAATTAGATAAATTTAGTAAACACTTGGTCAAGAATCAGTTTGTTCTTTGCAACCTAAAGTAGTATGTTCAATTTACACTAGTCAAACTCATAAGGAAAATGAGTATTCTACATTAGTACAACATTCACTATGTAGGAACAAGCTCAAGCTGCCCAAGGATACTCCAAATTGAACTATAATGCTATATTCCAATACATCTAATCTCGGATGGAGAAATCATTTTAATTTCTCATGGAAAAATAATTAAAATTTTTAATTAGTTAGCACCATAAGCCTCTAATTATCATAATCAACTAGCAGTTCAACATTTACATAATAACAAAAATTAAGTCAACTTAATTTTAAGGACAGGTTTAGCTTAATGCAGAAAATGATTATGTAACAACAAATGATGATGAAGTAAGAACACCAAATGGTGTCAGATAGCTGAAACTCAAGTGAGATAGATAGCTGAAACCATGTTCAGATGAGAAGCAAGACAACTTCCTAGGCAAATCCTAGCTAACCCACGAGATTATCATCCATCTAAATTTTCACCTCAAAAACAAGCTCTAGCTATCACTAGTTAAGTCCAATTACAATTTTGTCAATATGAGAACATTAAAGCTTTATTAGTTTTAGGTAGTACAAAGATTCCTGAAGACACATACAAAAGAAGTGAAAAAACATAGACAAGTAGACAAAGGAACCTCTAGAGTATGGAGAAACAACCCTTAGAGAAAATTAGAGAGAAAAACTTAAGGAAAACACAAGTTAAATTAGTAGAGTGACTCAGATACCAATGAGGAAGTAGAGTCAAATAAAGTGGTGGGTAAAGGTAAAGACAAGGTAAAAATGGATGCAAATCCTAAAAATTCAGAACCTTAATCCAAGAAGAAATCAATTCAAAATGAAGAGTTGATAGAATTATTCAAAAAAATATACATTACTATTCCATTAATAGATGCTATAAAATATGTGCCTTTTATGAGAAGTTTCTTAAAGAATTATGCTCACATCATAGAGAGCCTAAGAAGATTAGATTATCCACTTAAATAAGTTCTGCCCTCATGAACAAGCTCCTTAAAAAACTTAAAAATCCAAGTGCTCCTTTTATTTAATGCAACATATGTGAATTTACTTTTCATAGAGCACTTCTAGACTTAAGAACTAGTATTAGTCTCTCCAACTTTAATTCATGAGCAATTTGACATAGGACAATTTAAACCAACTCATGTTACTCATCAATTGATAGATCGATTAACCAAAAATCCAACATGATTTCTTGAAGATGTAACAAGAAATGTTAAATAACATGTCATCCATCTAACTATTATCTAAAATTCAAAAATACCAATAACATGGATATAAAAATAAATTAGAACATTGAAATTGCAATATGCTAATAATAAACACATGAAATAATAAATAAAACACATGTAAAAATAATAAAATATGCATTAGACTATAAAGATAGAATATTAATTTGTTCAGTCCAATTCTAAAATATATTGAATGCCATGTAATTATTCATTTAACATGGGCAACTTGTGTTCCTCACCAACATGACAACAAGTAAGAACAATTATTTGTATTAATTACATGAAGTAGATTTAAATCTAATTCGGATGACATTCAACTTTGCATTTAGATAAATGAGATTAACATTACTCACCAACATGAGATTGTTATGCTTATATCTAAATAGGTGAAATAATTGTATTTATATATTAAATATAGAGTATTTAAGTACCTAATGGTACTATAATAGTACATTTAACTAATAGTACATTATTTCATATACCTACATAGAGTTATAATAGCACTATTGTTAAATATAAAGGTCATTTGATGTGAATTGTTTCTTTGCAATAGATACCGGGGTTAGGGTACCTATGTTAAATGACACAAACTTTTTAGAATGGAAGGAAGCTTTGATATTTCAATTGGGCCTAATGGATTTAGATATTTGCTTTCGACTATATGCTCTTGTAGCACTTATTGATGAAAGCAATATGGATGTAAGGATTCTCCATGAAAGATGGGAGAGATCTAATAGATTGTCTTTATCATTCATGTTACAACATGTGCCTAGAGCTATTAGACGTCATGTAACTTCTAATACTGTGGTGAGTGTTTACATAGAAATGATTAAATAACATTTTTTTGTGTCTGGCAAAGTCAAAGTAGGTGCCTTGGTTCAAAAGTTTACTTCCATGCACTATACAGGGAAAAGAAACATATGGGAGTACATCACGGCCATGCATGACATCGTAGGAAAATTAAATGATCTGAAGATTACTATTCTTGAGACCTTTTTGGTCCATTACATCTTGCAAACACTACCAACAAAATATGACCTTTCTAAGGTCTCCTATAACACATATAATGATGAATGGTCAATGAATGCTCTCATAACCAAGTGTGTTCATATGAAAAAAAGATAAATTGTAAGTCAACTGGACAAGATAAATACCATGAAAATGATAACTCACAGATCAAAGAAACGTGCATCAAATGGCAAGATGATTAAGAAATCTTTAGAGAAGAAGCACGAATTAGGTGTGGCTAAAACCTCAATCTCTAAGATTAAGTGCTTCTTTTGTAAGAAATCTGATCACCTGAAAAAGGAATGCTCAAAGTGTGAGGAATGGTTAATCAAATAGAATTCAAGCAATGAAATTTCTATCACGAGTCATGAATCAAATCTAGTTTTTGTTCTTATTCGAGTTGGTGGGTTGACTCAAGTGTCACTATGCACATTTCAGCCAAGATAGCCTCTAACTGAGTGTAAATTATATGTCATATCTAGAAATCAGATGCATTCACATGTAAAGTTAGTGGGAGACTATAGAATCACTCTAGAGTCTAGAGAAATTTAACTTTCAAAGAACTACTTTTATATTCCATCACTCAACGAAATTTGATATCTATTATCAAATTAGTTAAAGATAATTATTGCATCTTTCTTGATGCATCAGATATGTCTTTAATTAGAAAAAAATATTCTCATTAGGACTAGTGTAATTAATACATTATTTAAGCTTAATATTTTTTCTCAAAATATTTCTCTAGTTTGTTCAAATAAAAGAATAGAACTAACAATAACTCTGCAATTTTGTGGCATAAGAGGTTGGAACACATATCCCAAAGGAGGGTGGAGAGATTAGTGAAAGAAGGACTTTTGATATCTTTGGATTTCACAAATCTCAATACTTGTGTTGATTACATCAAAGCAAAAACAATCAACACATTCAGGAAAAATATCATGAAATATGGGACAATGTTAGATTTTAATTTATATCAATGTATGTGGACCTTTTCATCCATATTTTATAGGCTAAAAATATTTTTTAATATTTACCAATGAATATTCAAGGTTTATGTATCTTTACCTCAGTACACAATATCAAGCAAGCCTAACATAAATGGGTTTGCAAAAAACATAATGCTTAAAGAAATGATCAAAGCTATGATGAGTTATTCTACTCTTTCAGTCCAAATGTAGAGTAAAACGTTAAAGATAATTGTGTATATTCTAAATAAGGTTCCAACAAAGTCCACATAGAAAACTCCTTATGCATTATGGACTAATAAAAAACCTTCTTTAGGTTATATGCACATATGGGTTTATCTAGTTGAAGCTAAACTTTACAATCCACATGAGAAATATCTAGATTTAAGGACAGTCAATGGATACTTCATTAGGTATCTAAAGAGGTCAAGAGGATATAGATTATATTGCCCTACACATACCCCAAGAGTCATTGAAATCGATAGAACTATCTTTTTAGAAGATGTTTGTGTTAGTGAGAGTATCTTTAAGGATTTTTTTTTTTAGGAGTCTCATGAAGATATTATTGTACCTTAACAAATTTATGGTGAGGGCAATGATATTTATCCTATTCAAGAGGTTGAGGTTTATTTGTCATATGTTGTTTCAACCTTTGACAATAATGAAAGGGCAAATATACCTACTCAAAAATAATCACATAAATAATCATCGGAACCTACTATAGATCTATCTATTCAAGATTTACATCAAGATTAAGAGACGAATCTAAGAAGATCAAGTAGACAAAGAAAATCAATTATTTCATTTGATTATGTGGTATATCTCTCAAGTGAAGACATAGGTCAAAGAATAAATGATCCCATTATACTTTCACAAGTCATGAACTATGTGAACTCTGATCAATGATTGCAAATTATGAAGAAAGAGCTTGTGTCCATAGATTACAATCAAGTATGAGACATCATAAACTTGCATATGGGAAAAAAGCTTGTTAGTTGCAAATAGATTTATAAAACCAAATTAAATTTCAATGGCACAATTAAATGATATAAAACCGAACTTGTAGCAAAAGGGTTTCACACAGAAAGAAGTCATTGACTGTTATGAGACTTATGCTCTGTTTTCTCTAAGAATTCATTAAGAATAGTCAAGACCTTAGGAGCTCATTTTGATTTAGAACTATATCAAATAGATGTGAAAATGACTTTCCTAAATGATGAACTAAAGGAAGAAATGTATATGCAACAACCTCAAGGATTTGAGATTAAAGGTAAAGAACATATAGTTTACAAGTTAAATAAATCTATATACAAACTCAAGCAAGCTTTTAGGTAGTGGTACTTCAAATTTAATAAAGTTATCATGTCCTTTGGGTTTGAAATTTTTTTACTAATTAATGTATATACCTCAAAAAAAGTGAGAGTGAATGAATACAACTTTTGTATGTAGATGATATTCTACTCATTAGTTCAAATCTTAATTTATTAAAAAAAACGAAGAAATTTCTATCAATTAATTTTGATATGAAGGACATGGGTGAGCCAATTACATAATGAACATAGAGATTCACTAAAATAGGTCTTTGAGTATGTTTCGGATGTCTCAAGGTCTTACATATCAAATGTGTTGAAACGATTTTCGATGAAAAATTATTCTCCTAGTAAATCATCTATTGTTAAAGGTGATAAACTAAAAAAATTACAAGGACCCCTCTTAGATGCAGAGAGGAGGTTTGTAATGAAAGAAAAATCATATGTTGTTATAGTTGGGTCTCTCAACTATGCACAAATATGTACCCATTGGGATCTATCATTTGTCACTGAATATCTTAGAACATATCAAAGTGACTCTGGCCTAATGCACTAGCAAACTACGAAGAATGTTTTAGGATATCTTCAAGGAACTAAAGATCTAATACTCACATATAGGCAAATAAATCAATTGGAGGTCATTAGATACTCTAACTTAGACTTTGTTGGATAATTAGACACATGAAGATCAACTTTGGATTGTGTGTTCTTACTTGTTGGAGAAGCTATCTCGTGGTCTAATATCAAGCAGAAGCAGTTGTAGTTGTCTCATGGTCTAATATCAAGCAAAAGCAGTTGCAGTTGTCTCATGGTTTAATATCAAGTAGAAGTAGTTGTAGAGTCTACAATGAAAGCTGAATATATAACTTGCTTCTATGCATTTTCGCAAGCTATATGAATGAAGCACTTCATCATATAGTTAAGAGCTGTGAACTTTATACATAAACCCATAAACATATATTGTGATAATGAAGTTGTTGTCAAATTCTATAACAACAACAAGAGCTCAAGTGCTTGTAAGTACATAGAGATTTGGTTCTTAAATATGAAGGAGAGAATCAAATATCAATTAGTGTCAATTAATCATATTGGGACTGACTATATGCTAGTTAATCCTCTTACAAAGGTACTTCCACTAAGTACCTATAGTGCACATGTCTATAAGATGGGGTTAGTCAGTTCCCTAGAGGATATGACATATATTTAGACACTAATATAATATGTGATATCACGTGTCTGATCTCTGAATATTAGTTCATGATGAACTTCATTGATCATTGAATAAATGAGAATGACACTCTATTTATCTTGTCATGACATAGTGAGTGTATTCATAAAGATTCTTTAAATATCACATAAAATATTTGATTTTAATATTGATCATGAGTATCTTAGTATATGAAAGGGACATATATCTTAAATGTTGTATTACTACCATGACTAGTACTTTTGAAAGATATTATGATCAAAATGAAGATATTATTTAGAAGCATTAAGGTTGTGGTCACTCCACATGATTATCCAATATAAAAAAAATAGATAAAGTCAAGTGGAAGATTGTTGGAATCAAACTATATTAAGGAGACTTTTTTAATCAAATTAGATATTAATGTAATTATAAATAATTTGTGATATTAGGATTTACTTGAGGTAAAACCATAATATAGTTATAGAGTGTATTATATAAAGGCCTGCCGTTGGGGTTTCAACGCAACAGAATAACACAACTTGTATAGAGACACTCCCATCTATAGGTGAGAGGTTCTAATTGTGGGGATCAAATAGAAGAATAAAGAAGAAAGATCATAAGATGTTCGTCATTTTATACATTGACGGTGAATACAAGTGCGTCACTTTCATCAAGATTGTTCTTTCCCAATTAATTTCCTAATTTTTTATATGAATTAATAGCAAGAGTTAAGTCAAACAATGATAATTCATCATTTTTATGAGATAAATAATGCATAATTAATACATTTTCTCCATTAGTTCATTCTAATGATATATATTTAATAACAAATCAAGTAAACATACTCTAGACTAATTTCATAAAATACATCCTTAATGTTTGGTTTTAACACGCTTTTATAGCATGTTCATATTTTTAAATATTACTTGATCATAAGTTAATATGCTTTATTTAATATTTTTATCTTTAAATATGTAATTGTTAGGACCAAAGTCAGAGTTTTATAGTTGGAATCATATTTTAGATATAAATAATTTGTTGGTGATGTTTTAGAATATTTTTAAAATATGTGTTGGTTTATAAGGGAACTATGAGCATATTTAAGGAAGCCTACTAAGGCCCATATTTTCAATTTATTTAATTAAATTAAAATGATTCATGAAATGGGAAGAAATAGATGAAACGTTTAGGAAAAAATGGAAACAACTTGAAATGGACAGATTATGGGTGAAAAAATAGACAAAGAAATAAAAGCTGATTCTAATTGAAAATCAAATGAATTTTTAGCAAGTAGATTCCTCACTACATGTAATAAATTTTAGATCTAAAGAGGGTATAAAACCTTCTAACTTAAGGGCAAAAGGGGAGCTCTTTTCTTCCACTTTCTACTATGTGACAAATAGTAATGTTTTTTTGACTCTCATGTTATTTTTGAGAAAAACTCTGATCTTTACATCATTTAGAATTTGTTTCTTTGATTAATTCAGGTGACAAATGAATGAATTGAAGAAACAATCAATTTCTAAGGATTTTATTCAAGATTTTGGTTAAACTTGTTTGTATGCCTATCCTTAATGTTTTTTCTTTCAGTTTTCTTGATGTTTTTGAGTTTGTATTACCTTTACTTTCATTTTAAAAATATATTATGTAGCAAAAAATCAATTTATTTTTAAAATTTTAAATTTTGTATTTCCACCTCATCCCTGATGGGATCTAGTGGGAACACTCCCACAATAGGGTTCTCTCTCCTCTCTCTTTTTTTTAATTATCCATAAATTAGGTTAATGAAATTTATTTTATTATTTTTCTGCATATTAATAATTTCAAGGTGACAAAGGGTGGAGCTGGTCTTCTTATACTCTTCTGCATATTAATATTTTATGACTAATTGAGCATAAAATATCTCTCATACTCTTCTTTTATTATTATTATTATTATTATTATTATTATTATTATTATCATCATCATCATTATTATTATACTTTTAGTTTTTATATTTAGATTTATTTAGAAAACAAAAAAAAATATCATCATTTGTTATCTTCCTTGTGCATTTGACCTAAACCTCGTGCAACTACTACATTTATTTTCAAGTATATTCTACTTTCTAAATTTGATATCTCATTATTAAACTACTAAAGGTGATCAAATTTGGTGCCATTGTTGGTGAATATTAAATGACATTGATGTTAGCTGTTCTCTTACTTTAGTTTCTATTTTTGTTTTAGAAAAAGTTACAAAGTTACAAAATTTAAAAAAATATTAAAATTATTAAATCTAGAAGAACTTCAAAAATCTAAAAGTTTAAAAAATCATCATAACTACATCTCTATTTTATATCTACTTATCTTTTACTCACATGTTTACTACATTGCATGTTAGTGTTCATTATTTTTAGGTATACTTCCTATTCATCTCTTTTTACTTTAGTTACTTTTCTTATCTTTTCATATTGTTTTAAAAAATATTATTATTTATCTTCATTATTTTTAGAAAAAATCATAGAAATATTTTTTCAATGACCATGCCAATATGACTAACCCTTTAACCAATATTGAAAAGAACTATTAGGAATATGGCTAACTATTAGAAAAGTCCAACCTAGACCAAGAACTATAACGAGGTTGTCGGTAGAAGTTTGGAAGCAGGCTTTATCCCGGTGCCACCTGGGGCCACGTGGGTTGGCCATGCAGCGTTCACCGCCCTTCGCCCTTCCTTATCTTAGACATTCTTCTTCCTTTCTTCTACTTTCCGCTTCTATCTCTGCTGCTGCAAGAGCATCAGGCTCGATGGATCTGAGGAACAAGTTCATGAACCTGGTGGCACCGCCCGCTGCCCTCTTTTTCCTCTGCCTCGTCCTGCCGCCTCTCTACTTCCTGAAGCTGTTCTTCTATCTCTTCTCCGCTCTTTTCCCTCAGAACCTGCGGCAGAAGGTCGTCCTCATCACCGGCGCCTCTTCTGGCATCGGCGAGGTACCTCTCTCTCTCCCCCTCTCTCTCTCTCTCTCTCTCTCTCTCTCTCGCTCTCTCCCCTATTATTCATTTTCTTCATCTTCTTCTTTAGCAGAACCTGGCCTACCAGTACGCGAAGAAGGGAGCCTCCTTGGCTCTGGTGGCCCGGCGGGAGGGCCGCCTCAGGGAAACCGCCAACCGGAGTAGAGAGCTGGGATCCCCAGATGTTCTCGTGATCCAGGCGGACGTCTCCAACCCCGACGACTGCAGGCGCTTCATCGAGACGACCGTCAGCCACTTTGGACGGCGTAAATCCATTTTTTACAAACTCTTTAGAGAGAGAGAGAGAGAGAGAGAGTTATGACTTATCCGTGTTATGATGTCTGATCTTCATTTGTTATTCCAGTGGATCATCTGGTGAATAACGCCGGTATCTCCTGCGTGTGCCTGTTCGAGGAGGTCTCCAATATCACCAGTTTCTCGCAAGTGATGGTAAGTCTTTCGATCGTTAAGAATGTTTTGTGAAAGAGGGAGAGAGGAGGGTGGGTTACGTAGGAACAGAGTAGAGAGAGAGAGAGAGAGAGAGGAGGGTCATAATTGTAAAAAAGGAATAAAGAGAGATGATCAACTTTTAAGGTAGAGTATGTATATAATAGATAGATAGAGAGAGAGAGAGAGAGAGAGAGAGAGAGAGAGAGAGAGAGAGAGAGAGCAGGGTTATAATGCTAAGTGCAGAGAAATGGAAGGTTGTGTAGTTAGATAGAGAGGGCCCACGTTGCTACTGGTGGAGTAGAGAATGAAAGGGTCAGGTCGCTACAAAGCAGAAGGGACATAAGGAGAGAGATGAAAATAACTCACGCTGTTTCAAAATAGAGTAGAGGGATAGAGAATTGAGGAATCATGTTATTAAATGTAGAGTAGACGTATAGAGAGGGAAATCTCATGATGCGACATAGTAGAGTAGATGTAGACAGAGGATCATGTCGCTACATAGAGAGAGGAGGGGTCATATCGCTACATAGTATTGCCAGAGAAAATGAGGAGGGCCATGTTATTACAATGTCAAGGGACAAAGGATGTTCATTTTTTTGCAAAGAAGAGACAGACAGACAGACAGAGACAGAGAGAGGGTAATCTTGTTACAAAATAAATGACGAATATGTTGCTTCGGATGATGTTTGTGTGGGAGGTTCCATCCACATATTAATTTTCATCTGAGTCTATACCCATGGCTACAGGATATCAACTTTTGGGGTTTGATTTACCCAACCCACTTCGCCATCCCCCAACTGAAGAAGAGCAGAGGGAGAATCGTCGTGACCTCATCGGCCGCCAGCTGGCTACCTATGCCGCGGATGAGCTTCTACAACGTTAGAACCACCCTCTTTCTCCCCGTCCGCCATTGAAAGCACAAGTCGGAGATGCTCTTGATCTTCTTCTCCTTGTTCCAGGCGAGCAAGGCTGCCTTGACGAGCTTCTATGAGACACTGCGGGTTGAGCTTGGCCGCGAAGTCGGAGTGACGATCGCCACTCCTGGTTTGACGGAGTCAGAAATGACACAGGGGAAGATGCTCACCAAGGAAGGCCATTTGCAAATGGACCAGGAGACGACAGACGTAGGCGCTCCCTCTCCCTCTCTCTCTCTCTCTCTCTCTCTCTCTCTCTCTCTCTCTCTCTCGCTCGCTCTAGAATAATACCGTACTCGAAGACTCAGGTGGGACCGTTCCCGGTGGTGTACGCGGAGGCATACGCGAAAGCAGTGGTGGAGGCGGCATGCCGGGGGCAGAGGTACCTGACGGTGCCGGCGTGGTTCCGGGAGGTGCATGTTTGCCGGATGGTCGCCCCGGAGGTGGTCGATTGGTTCTTCCGCTTGCTCTTCATGGCCAGGCCGGGCGGCGAGAAGGAGCCCCTCAGTAAGAAGTTATTCGACGCCACTGGCACCAAGGAGATGCTCTATCCCTCCTCCCAGCAGTCCTCCGAGATCAAACAAGACTGAGACTGCTTGTGGCTCGCTCTCTCGCTCGCTATATGTATATATATTGTGTTTATATTTACCTCCTCAGACGTCACTGATCGCCCGGCGTTATCTTTCGAACTCAGCCCCTCCGCCCGCCATCTACCCTCAGCCTCATGCCTTCTGGCCACGTGTTCACTATCCTTCTCGACCAGCCCCCTCTCTCTTGTGAGCTTGCTTCAAGAAAAAGTCTAATTAATAACTTCTATTGAGCAGTGAATATGGCATATTTTAGGTATCCTAGAATTAGTTAACACTACTAGAATATAATTTATTATTTCATTTTTTAAAATAACATTGACATTAAAGTTAGCAACCCTCACACATATACATTGATGGGATATACCTCTTCAGCCATAGCTATTGGTTACTTACCACTGGTAGATGCCAACCTAAGGTACTGATCCGATCATGTTGATGTCCACTTGGTCGCCATCTATCATCATCCTCCACAACCTTGAAATGGAATTAATCATCGTCATGGTCATCCTCTTCAACATTTTTATTTTTAAAATGAGAAAGGTAATCCTCCTCTTGAACAATTACTCATTCATAATTTGTATATTTTAACATCTTATTTATAATTATATATTTTTTATTTATTCTGGTATTTTAAGAACGATCAGATGTTAAGATGCTTCATATATTTATACATACGTATTTCCCAAAAACGAATGTGATGATATGAAAGAAAATATTCTGTATAGAAGGAAGGATACAGAGAAAATGGAAATGCTTCCACATGTAATCCATAAGGCTATAGATGTGCTTAAAAGGTTAAGTTAGATTAGTTCAGGGAAATTTCATGGCAACATATATGAAGTGAAATTGAGTAAGGCTATCAACCAAAGATTTTTTCTGAATTGCATTAGAAAATAATGATATAATATATGCCTTTGCGAAAATTACTGAAGAGAGAAGAGAATCTAGTATAAAGAACATTGAAAATGAGGCAATGACGATGGTGATGACAATGAGTGCATTGATAATAATGCTAATGCACTTTCCAAGGACTTGTGAATAAAGAAAGTGGTTCAGATTTCAGATCACATGATATTTGTTCATACAAAAAAAAATATAGTTCAATCTTTGAGAATTTTATACTTGACACCAATTATTCTAGTTGGGTTGACGAAACAAATGTAAGAAATTATGATGTATTCAATTCAAAATGCATCGAGCAGATTGAAGATGATGGTGATGATGATATCTCAAGGTATTAATCTGGATGTATTCTCAGCAAAAGATAGACATGATTTGGCATTTCCATGGAAGATCCAAAGAAAACTTGACATAGACTCCAGCATGTCAAGATCATGTTATAGCTTGAGGGAAGGCATTCAAGGAATTATTATGAAGGCTTCAAAAAATACATCGTCACTTTCTCTGGGGATTGGATGCCATGTTGCAGTAGCTAAGTGAAGCGCTAGGATAGACACCTGCTGCCAAGGGTGGCGTTTCCGAGAGGAGAAACCCTTGCAGAATGGATGTCTCTCGAGATTTTCCAGCACTGCCAAGGTGGCAGTCCTCAGCCAAGTGACCTTGGAAGAGTGAGTTCTTGTAAGGAAAGCTGTCTTCATGGAATTGACCGGCGCTCAAAAGTCTGGGGAGAGCTGCCCGTTGGATTGCTAATCTCTCTCTCTCTCTCTCTCTCTCTCCCTTTGCATCAGCATCTGATCACCTGAGCGTATTGAACCCTGAATCTTAAGAAGAAAAGGCGTGGCCTTTTTGCCAAGACATCCTAACAGTCGCTGCCCCAAGCCTGTGTGATCATCCAAGCAAATCTCGGCAAGTCTGATAACCAGCCCATGTCAAGAGCACGGAAGATTTAAATGACGGAAGGACCTCTTTCTAATAACAATAAGTCCAAACTTATGCGCATCAAAATTAAAATCCCAACGTAGGCAATAATTCGCCGGTGAAATAATTTTCATGTGCCTGAAAGCAAAAACAAACAAAAAATGAACTACTCGGTTGTCTCTCTCTCACTTCGTTACAGGTCAGCCTATAATATACTCTTAACTAAATAACCCTGAATCATTCCTAAAATGCCCTTTTAAACATGGTATAATATTTATTCCAAATATATGGAAAGGATGGATACAACTGTCACGAAATTTCCGGTGATGTTAAGGGTAACCTATCATAATGCTCTCGACGAGGACATCTATAAAAATGATGCCGTTGGGAAGGAGACGATGCTATGACGTGGCAGATGAAGTGACGTCGATCTTATCGCGACTGAGGTGCCCCCATTGGCCAGCATTCAAAGCCACAAGTATTCTTGTCATCACCTCACGTCTTTTTCTTTCTCCCCCTCCCTCTCCAGCTCGCTGTCAGTTAAAGTGAGAGATAAAGAATAAAGTCTATTCGCCCACTCTATCATCGATCTATCTACTTATATGAATACATATACAGCTATATATCTAAGACGGATTGAGAAAAGAGGGTGCAGTCACTTGCTCTCACAAAGCGATTCGAGGGAATACCGGCGCCATTTTTAATTAGGGTCATCTATCTCTCTAAAAGAGAAGAGAGATAATGTCATTTATTACTTCGGTTTCTTCCTATTTCCAATTGATAGGAAGGAGAACATGTCGTCAATTATTATTTGGATCTTGAATTATCTTGAACTCAAAACACGAAAGTGTGTAAGTTTTTTTATCCATATTCCTTATAACCTTTTACACACATGATGAAGCCCTGGATCTCAAATTTGATGCATGAGTACATATCAACAACTTGTCCTGAGAAATCAGTTAGTGTATCATTGAGCAAACTATAGAAAATACTAGTTTCTCTATATATCATTGAGCAAGTTAACCCAAGAATGTCACAAACTCAAGCCTTTAGATTTCTTAAAAATATCGACCCAATGGACATCTCAATATTTTTTTCATCTGAATGTAGCCCATCGCAAAGTTTTTATTTCTGAATGTACATATTATTAACTTAAGTGTGCCCTTGTGGATACTTTCCAAGTGTCCAATATTCAACCTTATGTCAACGTCCTAAAATTTTAAAAAAGAATCTGAATCATACATGCATGAAAAAGCATAGAATAATGAATAATTTATGCATAAATTTGCATCAATAGGTCATTGATGATCTTTGTAATAGCAGTTCAAAATTTAATGTGCATGAAATGTCAACATTGCAAACCTCATGAAATATCTTCATAATTGTGAATGAAGATTTTGTCTTTCTTAAACATCAAGATATTTAAATCTATAATATTTGGCATTGTAATCATATAATTGAGATTTTTATTACACATCAAAATGAACGAGTATCATGCATAGTTTAGGGTTTCTAATAGTAGCCTCCCTCATAACTTTTTTTTAATCACCTTTTATTTACTCTCATCTTGTCATCTTATTAAAGGAAATTAGTTCACTAATGTAATACACCAAACATTCTGTTTTGCAAGCTTTTGAATCATAAAGTTTCAATCCCTAATTTGAATTTTTGGATTATCACTCTTTCTTTGAACAAACGTGATGCCATTTGAATAAAAATCGTCATCTAAAATCTGACTTATCAATCCAGTAAGTGGTTTTAATCACATATGTTAGAAGTAATCTCTAATTGAATTTTCTATATAATCTCAAAAAATCTTTAGGATCATCATGGAACTCTATAGCTCTTAAAGTTCATCAAGTCAAATGGTTATGATTTTCAAGTATGAAATCAATGTTCATCTTCTAGACTTGTGCACGATAATTAATATTTGAATGGAACATTTATCTGATACTCTACACCCACATGTCGAGCAAAGTAAAACATTTGACCTTTATTACAAAAGCATTATATGTTTACATATCAACACTATTATAGTCCCTGCTTACTTCTTGAAAGCTATCCTAAATTAGGTTAACTTTTGTCTTCTTACTAGAAATACATACCTAGTTATAAGAAAACTAATGTATTAAGTTGAAAAGAACTATGTTGAAAAAACCATCAAATTAATGTAATATACCCTTTATAATAAGTTATTATGTATTATTCAGTGGAAAAGAATAGTTGATAAATGGAATTTAATTTTTTTATTTTTCATTTGTAGTAACATGCATAAAAAATCATTAGCCTAATTTGTGAAACATCCATAAGTAGGGTTCTTCACATTCATCTTGTGTAAAGATCAAATGTTTGGGGACAATGGGGGGATGTGATTTTTATCAAAAGTAATTCATTAGCAAGGTTTCAACATAGAGGATGTTAGAACTTTCTAGAAAAGGAATTAAGATACGAGTGAACAAAGATTTTAATCTTGGAAGAAGAAATGACATGATGAGAGGGAGAATCTTCTGGGAAGTAGTAGTAGCATGAGATGGGGGAGAAGGCATTTAGTCACTAGCAAATGAGGATGCAAAAGAAAGTCAAACAGATGGGGGAGTGAGGCTTTGAATCAAAAGGGTGGTTTAAATGAGAAAAATGGGGTTTTCTACAAATTAGATTTTGAAGATTTGGAAGACAAACTATGAGAGAGAGCCAAGAGAATTAGGATCTTTCAAAGTAGAAAGTAGATGCTAATTAGGGTAAATTATATTAACTCAAATATATCTCACCAATTTTAATAGTTATTGGCTAGTACGAGCATAATAGGCATGTTGCAGGTCAATAAGCATGATTCAAGAGTATCACGTAGGGATAAATAAAAATATATATATATAATATTAAACCCTGAAAATATTATGTAATATTGCTTATAAATTTAAATTTTAGCTTTTATATTCTTACCGAAGTGATTTCTACAATGAAATAGTATGATTTTTCTTTTGAAATGATTACAATGATGGAAAAATTATTGTTCTAACTTTTATGATATTTTGTGTGAATAACATAGCCTACCATGATGAGTACAAAAGAAGCTAAACATAATTTCTTTGTCTACTCATATTATCTCTTAGTTTCAAATCCATCGTAAAGTTGTCAATAAAAGATGAGTAGATATACTATAAATAAAATTTCAACTTAAGCCTATGGATGAGTTGGTCATCCTCTAGACAAGTTAACCTTTTTTTGAAATAATTTTCTTTGCTGAACTAGTCATTTGGTCACTTTATTCATTCAATTTCTAAGCTAGGGTAACACTTTTTGCATTATATAAGCTTTGAAAGGTGTCCAAATAGGGTTTGGGGAACCTCATTCAAGAAGAGAAGGGAAGATCATAAGAACATTTGAAATTTATATCAAGGAAGAACCATTAAAAAATATCTATCACACTCCCTCTTGTCTTATTTACTCAAACCTAGTGAGGAGAGGATAGGACACATACAAACTTATTATTCAATCAAACATCATGAAGGTTTTCAATTTTCTAAAGGCCTCATTCAAAAGATAAGGGAGCAAGCCATGCAAAAGTAACCATCATAAAATCATGTCTCATTTATTTAAATTTACTATTTAATATACTCTTCAATTGTATATGTAATTTTTCATATTAAGTTAATCTTCAGTGAATGTTAAATAATTTCAATATAATTTAGAACTCTTGGAATTTACCATGATTTCTCACACTCACCATACTCTCCACCTCCCCCACTCAAATTCACATAATTGCAAATTTTCTTTTATAAATTTTAAGAAAACTAAATATATATAAAGATAATAAATCTATGATATACAAGTTTTCATTTGATACACAAAATCAAACGTATTCTAACAATAAGAAATATATAAATTTTCATTTGTATTATAATTCTTTTATATATGCATACTAAACTCAATTTAGCACACATTTGATATTATCTATAAAGAAATATGTTTAAATTAACGTGAACATCTCTCAAAGGACAATGAGTCAAATCAAAATATTTTTTACCAAAATGACATCACTAAGACAAATTAAAAGAAACTGTAAAATGCTTCCAAGAAAAATGGCAATTAAGTAATCTTATTATCATACCGCATTAATATATTATGGTAGTATTTCAAGCAGTGGTTAATTCAGAGATATCATATGAATTAATACAAGCCAAGCAGCAATAATTCCAACATGGGGCCAGATTTCATTTACAAAGCTTGCACTTGGATTATGCTCAAAGAAAATTCTAGAAAATGGGCCCAAAGAGTTCTTGTGGGCCCCCCACTCTCTCTCTCTCTCTCTCTCTCTCTCTCTCTCTTTCACTTAGTCAAAAGTTGGGCTTGGGCCCAAACTTCATTAACCCTAGAAGAGCCCGACGAATAAGTTAATGGCCACCACCTCTTAAGGGTCGCCATAGGGAGTGTGAGCGGACGCTGACATGGCGACGGGACCCACTGGATGCTCCACGTGCAAGCCTAATCAGGTGGTGAATAAGCGGGCTTTCGGGCCAAATTTTCACAGGGATCGGGCCGGGCTAAGTTTCACAGAGGCCCTATGGATGACAGGGTGCGAGGAGCTCGGATGCTCCACACGTGCGGTTTGACCGTGCGAAGGGGTGGCCCACGGGGGGGGGTAACTGAGATGGACCGGACTTGACTGGCCCATGTGCTGCTTCTTGCCACCACCCCACTTGCCGCATTTTAGAGCGTTTTTTTATTCAATATGCTTAACGATCTGTTATTAAATTATATCCGTATATTATATAATATTATAGGGGACAATTTACGTTTAGTCCCTGTATTATTATAAAATTCCACATATAACCTCGCAATTAAAAATATCAAAGCACTGTTTATGCAAAAAAACTTCCACTAAATTGTTTATTTTTTATGATAATCCCATGGTAGAAGTACTAAGGTATAATTGCTGGAAAACACATGTTCTATAAAAAAGTACGAAATAAACCTTATCATCCCAGGAAATATTTTTTTTGCCAGACGTGAAACTATGAATAAAAATTTATCCAAACATATTATTGATTATCATATTTTAATTATTAAATTTATAGAAAAATAATATCCCTGAGAAATGAAAACATTGATTTGATAGAAAAGGATCTTTCCCATTGTATCGACAAAGGTGGGGGCTTTTTTAAGTATATGCATTTTAGAGAAGGCTATATTTCAAATTTAAAATATGTGAGGTGGTGAAAATAAATACGTTTAATACGGAGGATAAGGATAGAAGACGTGAAATCTGCGTCGGGTCTCCGTCGACACGCCGGAGCCCTAAATTTTTCCCCATCGCCATTACCTCTCTCTCCTCTCTCCTCTCCTCTTTCCTCTCTTCTCTCTCTTCTCTCTCTTCTCTCTCTTCTCTCTCTTCTCTCTCTTCTCTCTCATCTCTCTCATCTCCGGCGGAATCTGACTCTCCTGCCAGAGGTGGACAAGCATGACAAGACATGGTAGTAGAAAACACCAGCCCCACTACAACAGGGACGCTGCCTTCGTCGTCACGAGAGGGATGCGCCGGCGATTTCCCGTCGCTGTCTCGGGGCTGGCCGCGAGGCGGGGCGTTTACCGTGAGGGGAGGGTGGCTGATGTGGATCCTGGTCGTCCTTCTCCTGTTTCAAATGAGATTAGAGAAGTTGATTGCGTCGATCGGACTCGATTAGCTGCTGTCTGCCTGCTGGCTGATTGGTTCTTTTTTTTTTTTTTACCTTCTCTGATTAGGGTTTTTTAAAAAATTACAGACGATCCTCGATGCAGAGGGAGACGAGGTGGTGGTGTCAGATATGGTCTTTCTTTAAAAAGAAAATGAGATCGGTGAAGCTGCTTGCGTCGATCGGACTCGATTTGTTGTTGTCTGCCTGCTATATTGGAATTTTTTTACTATTATTCTTCTCTGATTAGGGTTTTTAAATTTTTTACAGACAACCCTCGATGCAGGTGGAGACGCGGGACTGTTGTCAGATATTGTTTAAGACTATGAACAGCCGTGAGGAGGAAAGATCTGGTGATATTTGCGGTGACGATTCCCAGGCATCCTGTTGTGCGGCCAAAGGCCGCGATCCCCGCCCCACATATTCTTGTGGTAGGTAGCCGCTGTTCCTACTGGAGGAGTGCTCGTGGATTGACCATGGGGTTGAAGGACTAATGATTTCACACGCGGGGGAGATGGATGGAGAAGTGGGGAGAGGAGAGAAAGGATGGAGAAAATCAGCAGTCCCCTCTTCACAGGCGATTGGAGAGGAAGATGTAGATGGAAGGGGCAGGAGGAAGATGGTAAACTGTTAAACCCAGGCGGTAAAAAAATGGAGCTACCCCCCTCTTCTTACTGTTCTTTTTTCGCTCACCTTTTGACGCCAATCTCATTCTGTCCCTATGATCGTCGAGGGCCTAAGAAGGTCTTGCCCCCACCCTTTTCCAGCCTATCCACCTCTCTCTCTCTCTCTCTCTCTCTCTCTCTCTCTCTCTCTCTCTCTCTCTCTCTCTCTCTCTCTCTCTCTCTATCTCGTATGGATCCCAAGGGCTCCTCAAAGCTGTCCCAGGAGGTCCCCAAATTTCAGCAGCCAGAAAGGAGGGAACCCACCAGAAATTCTACAAAGGCTGCTGACGGAAGGGAGCTCCAGAGAGTGATGGCGTCGGCGGCGGAGAGGGATACGCAGGCCGCAGGAGGCCACGAGAGAGACGAAGAGAAGAAGCTCGCCCCGAAGAGGAGCTCCAACAAGGATAGGCACACCAAGGTGGACGGCAGGGGGAGAAGGATCAGGATGCCGGCCCTCTGCGCAGCGAGGATCTTTCAGCTGACCAGGGAGCTCGGCCACAAGACCGACGGCGAGACCATCCAGTGGCTGCTCCAGCAGGCGGAGTCCTCCATCGTCGCGGCCACCGGCACCGGCACCATGCCGGCTTCCGCCATCACCACCGCCGCCGGCTCCGTCTCCCACCAGGGAGCCTCTGCTTCCGCCGGCCTCCACTCGAAGCTCGACGAGCTGGGCGCCGCCGGCGGGTCCTCCGGCAGACCCAACTGGCCTGTTCTTGGCGGAAACATGGCGCGATCGCAGCTGGCGGCGGGGCTGTGGCCTCAGGTGGGCGCCTTCGCGCAGGGATTCATCCCCTCCACGGCTGGCACGGCGGCGCCGGCCATGGGGCCCGGCGATGGGGGCTCCTCCGCCGGGTTCTTGCCGAGGGTTGGAGTGCAGGGGCTGGAGCTCCCTGGGAGCAGTCTGGGCCCAATGAGCTTCACCTCGATCCAGCAGCTTCCCGGGTTGGAGCTCGGTCTCTCTCAAGATGGGCAGATTGGAATTCTGAATCCTCTTACATTGAGCCACTATTACCAGCAGATGGGCCATGGGAGGGGAGTAGGAGGAGGTGATGGTGGTGACAATGACGACGGCGGTCAGATTCAGCAGCAGCAGCAGCAGCAACAACAACAACAGAGGCAGCAACAGCGACAACCTACCCCCAGGAAGGACGAGTCTCAGGGGTCCAAACACTAGGCGCTCTGAACATTGACGAATTCCCAGAGGTGCGATCTTTGGCGAGAGCATGGGCGAACCAGCAACCGACACCCATAGACGCTGGCTGCATTTCATTTTGGTTGCTCGATTGGTTTTTTCTTTTTTATTGATTGGCTGCAAAATCCGAGACACAGAAGAACAAGGAGTCCAAGAAAGTGATAACCTCGTTGGGTCTGCTTCTCTCCCATCTTCCTCTCCGTGGCTCCAGAGCAGCCCGCCTGTGAGTCTACACACACCTACCTCTCCTACTTACTTCAGAACTAACCATTTCCGCTCAAGAGTCCGCAATCTAACTCCGCCACTTATCTCAGGCCCTCATGGGGCCACCTTCTGCAGGTGGAATCCTCACCTAACTGAATGACTGGACGGAGCCTTGTTGTTGGTCTCTAGTGCAAGGTGTGTAGATTCCATTGTAAGCCATCGCTTCTACTGTTCTGTGCCCCAGGTAGGGAGTGGTGATTGGTTTGTTCTGAAGAAATTATTTTATTTTATTTTATTTTTTCATTTACGTTAATAATCATAGATGGGGAGTGGTGATTGGTTTGGTGATGGGCAATTAGCCCACCGGAGATTACTTTCTTCCCAAACTGTTTGAGCTCTGCTCTGGGATGCATTCTTCAGCTCTGGATTGAAGTGAAGTGAAGTGAAGTGTTTACTTTCTGATCCAATGTCATATATGGCAACCAGATTGGGTCTGCCCTCAGCGGTCTGCAGGTTGGTATGTTCTTGCCTGGACATGGCAGCACCACAGTGTTCATCGGAGATGATTGATGTGCACATCCATGATTATTGCGTCGAATCTATGGTATCATCTAAAATAATTTCATGAGCACTGGTCAGATTCATCCCTTCCGCTCTATCTGGATTGCTATTGTTCAGACATACCTTTGATTGCATTGGTTCTAGGGAATATGATCCCTGTAACTATGATTTAGATCTTTTATTTTTCTTTGGAACAGCTTTTGTCGTGGTTTCTCTTCATTGCTTGACTGAGTTGGAATCATAATCGTCTGATTAATTTGGTATAAATCTCTTTCTGTAATTCCACATTTAGATAATTTCATGGCCGTACGTTCATTGAAAACCTGTGCAAATTCAGATTTGTTCATCTTTGTCGCCCAAAGAGGGATCAGAGTGGTTCAAAAAAGCATTCAGAAACAGAGAGGCAGCAGTTCTTTTGCTGTTTTATTATTATTATTATTATTTATTTTAATGATTGTGATAGTAATGAGCTTCGGAAGGTGGGTTTGACCTATTGACTGCTTAATTTATTTTCCAACGTGGGAGATCTCGTTGACTTCGCTATTCAACTGGTGAGGAGGATCCTGTTGACTAACCAGAACATATATATACATATGGGCAAGGCTCATTGAAGTCCAGGTGGCTGGGGCTGTAAAAATCCGTACTGGGCTCTGGGTTGACTAGGCCCATTGAAATCCGTATCTGCCATCATGAGGAAAATTTGGCCTAATCTTCCCACCCGTCTCTTCTAGACCTGTCCGTATTGGCTGGGCCCGAGCCTTCAGAATCCTGGCCCGGCCCAATACATTTTGTTTATTTCACAGTAGTGCCATCAAAGCCTACATCTTTATTCTCTTGAAGATGAAATGTGCCTTAGACGGGTAGAGGTGGGCTGGATAAGTTGGCAACTCGGCCCGGCCCAGCCTGGATATTTTTGGGCATGGTATTCAGTTGACTTTTCGGTTTGTTAGGCTGGGCCCGTCTTATTTTTGGGCATGCTATTCATAAGTTGACCCGATCCTGAATCCTGAATCCTATCCGGTCCATTGAGGGAACTAGTTCTTCGTTCCTTGATATTACCATGATCGTCACTGTTTGACTGCAAATGTTTCCGTTTTCCGCAGTCCGATGTTTGACTTCTATTTGTGGTAAGTTCTCTTCTTTGTTTCCGGCGACACATTTACACTATGGGACCCACTTGAAGCTACTGGGCTCCAATCCAAGCCCACCCAATAAGGGAGACTTCATCCGCGAGACTAGGGTTGGGCCCAAAGCGCCGATGATGACGTGGCTGACGGAACTGCGGCGCCGCCATTTTGACGGTGGGCGGCGTCGGCGTGAAGTTGCTCCATCGGGGCCCACTCTTTTTTCGCCGCCCACTCCAAAAGCGCCGTGCGGAATCTGTCATTTCGGCACGCGACAGCTGGAGTGCGCCTCTTCTACGGCTCAGCAAAACCCTACTCTCAATATGGAAATACCAAAATATCCCTTATCCATTGGGGAACCGCGTTTGATCTGATCCTATCCGTTAAGTTTCTTAATTGGTCCACTACCTGTCGCTATCGGATCCCAGCCAATAAGATTGTCCATTATCCTTCTGAATGCATAATTAAAAAATATTCTTTAAATTTTATCCTTCTAAATTTAGAGGGGTTTAATCTCTCTCTCTCTCTAGAAGAGCAAGAAAGCCGGCCCATTAACAAGTCATGGCATAATTTCCAACAGATTTTATGCTTTCTTTAATGTTATTAGTAACATTGGTTAAATGATAGAAATCATCTCTCCATTCAGGTTGAACTGCTCGGTTATACTCAGATTACGCCCTAATTAATTCCCCAATTATTATAACATATTATTTGATATGAAATTCCCCATGGAAATATCGCGCACAAGGTGTTGACTTCTCTTTGGACTGCATGACTCCTCTCTCTCTCTCTCTCTCTCTCTCTCTCTACATATGTATACGCATTTTTTTGGTATTATATTAATTATGCACCAACTAGGTCAAGTCAAATGTCACCACCAATCTAGTCGCTAGAGATAGAGTAGGATTCATTGGACAACCCTGTTCATATGCTCCTCCCAACTGGACACAATACAAATACATCTCCAACACTAATTGTGTGCCACGTGTTGACTTATGAAGGAGATAGCACATATAGGTAGATATTCGATTAGCTACCATCACCTCAGTGCCAACCAAGATTGAATTGAATTGGTCGAGTCAATACTTTCTCTTGGTACCAATATTATTTCAAACATCAGTCTCTATCACTTTTAGAAGCATGGTCCCTAAGATTGGGTCAACCATGCTTATTGAATAAGCCAATGTTTTACCCAATAATAGCTACATTGCAAGGGAGGGACGTTGACTAGAGGATCAATCTTGGGTTCCTTGTCCAAACGTTTTCTGGACACCTCTTGAGAGAGAGAGAGAGGGAGAGAGAGAGAGAGGGGAATATTTTCTTAATATTGTCTAATAAATAATTTAGGGGTTCCAAATTTCTCTCTCTCATGCCTCGAAAAGCATAACAAATGACAATCTAAATCTCTGTATGCTTAAAAAATGTACATTAATCTAATAACAACGTCTAATTTGGATTTGTATAGAATTTACTAAAAATAAATTCATACTTTATATATAAAAAAAATATTTATATTCCCCAATGTTTGCACTAACATACCATTTAACTACTGGCGTTAGATTTTAAATACTTAGTGCTATCTTATTTTAAATGTATAGAATAGAAGGTCATGAGGTAATTAATTTTCTCTTTCTAAAAAAAATCGGAAAAATGATGGAAATTCTCCAATCGAGATCTCCTCTCCTTTCCAAGGATATCTTACCCTTCCTCCAATGGAGACAAAATGACCTCCCATTTGCGCACGTGTGACCGTGATTCTGCCCCCCCCCTCGGTTTGAGTCACCCTCGCTCCGAAACTCACCTTCACGAGATTTGTCGCTATGTACCGCTTTTATCCACGTGGCACTCCGATATTGATTCCCCTCCAGATAACCCACCGGTAATTGAGAAAAAATAGAGGGTATAAATATAAGTAGAGGAGAGAGAGAGAGGGGGGCCTTTGAATTCAAGATTATTCAAAAGAGGAAAGCAGAGGAGGGGGGAAGGGGCCGGAGAAGGAGGGGCGGAGCGCCGCCGGTGGCAACCCTCCGAGATCTCCGGGATCCCGTATCGCCGTCTCCTCCGGCGACCTTACTTCTGGTTTCTAAATTCGCTTCTTCCCGCCTTCTCTGGCTTCGGAGGATCTGCAATCTTCCGCTGCCGGCGCTCTGTTCCTGCGGGGGAATATACGGATGGGGACCGGCGCCGGACAAGGAGAGATTGGAGGAAGAGGAAGCTCTCGCTCTTCTGGTTCGATCTGCTCGAGCTCTCGGAATTGGTCCGTCCGGTTTGGGTGAGCAGAGGAGTTGCCATGGCCTGGGCCGACCAGAGCAGAAGCGGAGACGCGGAGGACCGGTACGCCGAACTCATCAAAAGGATGTACACTCCGAGGTGAGGTCTAGGGTTTATATCTTCTTCTCCCTCTCGAGTTCTCTCTACGGTTTCCTTTTCCACTGACCACGGTCTTCTTCTTCTTCTGCGTCTGTCGTTCTTCTTCACTGTGTTTTCTTCTCTCTCTCTCTCTCTCTCTCTCTCTTCAGTCTGACGTGTGTCCTTCTCGTTCTCCATTCCTTGATTCCTCTCTAGGTTTTTCTAGGGTTTCTGCTCTTCCTGTGACTTGCTTTCCCCTGTGATTGCAGCTTCGTCGTGGACAATGAGTCCTCCCCTGATTTCACCATCGTCAAGGTTATCCGGGTGAGGAAGCACTCCCAGCTCAGATTCCCATGGCTCCTTCCTCTGTCTCTTTGATCCAATTTCGCCTCTCATCCTGGGTCGTCTTCTTCCTCTCAGGTGGAGGCCAAGAACAACCAGGGAGTTCTTCTGGCTGTCGTCCAGGTCCTCGCCGACCTCAACCTCGTCATCACCAAAGCGAACATCTCCTTCGACGGCGAGTGGTCCATGGATGGTGGGTCTTCCCAAGAAATCTTCGTCTATGATTTATAATTACTCCCTGAGAATTCCTGTGACTGGTCCGCTGATCTGATCTGCTTCCCTGGTCAGTCTTCCATGTCACCGCCGCCGACGGGACCAAGCTCCAGGACGAGGAGATCCTCTGCAAGATCCAAGAGGTAGGTCGTTCGTCCTTTGGAAAAGATGATTTCCCGAGAATTGCAGAGGTTTTTTCAATGCGATCAGTGCCCCTGGTTTTCTTTCAGTCGCTGGCGGCGGTGAGCTCTTCTTCAGGCCCCCCGGCGCCGGTGAAGACGACCTCCATCGAGCTCATCGGCGCCGACAGGCCTGGCCTTCTCTCCGAAATCTCCGCCGTGCTCAAGGACGTGGGCTGCAACGTGGTGGAGGCCGAAGTTTGGACCCACCGCGCCACCGCCGCCGCCGTCGTCCGCCTCACCGACGAGGCCACCGGCGCCGCCATTGAAGACCCGCAGAGGATCCTCACCATCCGGCAGCTCCTCTGCTACATCCTCCGCGGCGGCGGCGGCGGCGCCGCCGGGAAGACTGCCGTTTCCATGGGCGCCTCCCACCCGCAGAGGCGCCTGCACCAGATGATGTCAGCGGAGAGAGACCTCGACGGCGGCGGCGCCACCACCTCCGCGGCGGAGCCGGAGGCCTTCCAGGGGCCGAGAGTCAGCCTCTCGGACTGCGCCGAGAAGGGCTACTCCGTCGTCACTCTGAGAGCCCCCGATCGACCGAAGCTCCTCTTCGACGCTCTCTGCGCGCTCTCCGACATGGACTGCGTCGTCTTCCATGCCACCATCCTCACTCAAGGAACGGAAGCCTGGCAGGTATCACCACCGTCTTCTTCTTCTTCTTCGTCTTGCGCCGCTGCAACGGTCATCCTCTGCAATTTCTTCAGGAGTACTACATCCGGCACCGGAACGGGCGGCCAATTGGTGGCGCCGCCGGGGAGCGGCGCCGGGTAGTGGAGTCGCTGCGGGCGGCGGTAGAGAGGAGGGCGGCCGGCGGGGAGCGCGGGGTGGAGCTGGAGCTGACTGCGGCGGACAGGGCGGGGCTGCTCTGCGACGTGACGAGGGTGCTGAGGGAGAACGGGCTCTCTGTAAGGAGGGCGGAGATCTCCAGCCATGCCGGGGAAGCGGCGCACAGGTTCTTCGTCGCCGACGTCTCCGGCGAGGTGGTGGCACCGGCGACGCTGGACTCGATCCGCCGCCAGGTCGCCGCCCAGGTGGGGGCGTCGGCAGCGCTGAGAGTGAAGGGGACCTCGCCGCCACCGCCACCGCCGCCGCCGACGTCCTCCTTCAAGAAGCCGCCGCCTTCTCAGAAGGCGGTCTTCCTCCTGGGCAGCCTGCTCAGGGCTTGCTCCCCTCATAGCTTGAGGTTGATCGGCTCCTACTCTTGACCCTCCTCCCATCTCCCCCTGTAAAAACTCTCTCCACTGTAAATACTCTCTCTCTCTCTCTCTCTCTCTCTCTCTCTACACTCCTGGTCCGCCCTCTCCCCACTGTAAATACTCTCTCTCTCTCTCTCTTGCTTGCTCTTTCTAGCGTACACTGAGTCAATGTACATATAGTCAACGTATGTGGGGATGAGATCAGAATAAGGTGCGATCATCCGCCAATGTGTCCTCTAAAAACATTGTAGTCAACCCACTTCGACTTGCCGGGCCAATGCTGTTGTGGTTGACTCATGAAATCATTAGGTGATAATTCTGACGCAAATCATAAGCGAGTGGAAATGAAGTCAACTTAATCAGAGGTCAATATATTTATACCCCGCTCTTCGTTAGCTTTTCCTATTAAAAAAATAAATATAAATTCCTGTCGTAATAAGTATTATTATTGTCAAAATAATTAGTGGATATCTCGGTGGTTGTCCCCCGATTAGATGATGACGATGCGATCACGTTGCACCGCTCGATGAGATTTTAACGGCCAGGATTCGATAGAGGCCGGGTGAGCAGGGCTTCTAGAAGAAAAGCGCAGTTGCATAATTTGTAATCTTTAAGGAGGATCTTTAATATAATTATTTAGAGGGGGATTAGATTTGATTTTTTTCCCCCGGGCACACGGTGGGGAGCGGTTCCCGCGCTGAAGCTGAAGCGGCAGCGAGTATACCGCTCGATGAGATTTCAACGAAGAGGATTCAGTTGAGGCTGAACGGGCTTCTAGAAGAATAGTGCTGTTGCATGATTTGTAATATTTCAGGAGGATATTTAATATAATTATGTATAGAGGGGATTATATTTAATTTGCCCCTACGGACTCACGCTGAAGCGGTAGCGATTGCACCGATCGATGAGATTTTAACGGTGAGGATTTGATTGAGGCGAGTGGGGCTTCTAGAAGAATAGTGCACTTTTATAATTCTTAAAACTTTTAGAAGGATATTTCATATAATTATTTAGACGGAGGGTTATATTTAATTTCCCCCCGCTATGGACACGCGGTGGAGAGCGTCCTCAGTTCCGCTGAACGCGGGAACCACCTGTTTAAACAGAAGATGGGATCTAAATATAAATAATTAATCTGATGAGGTATCTGGCACAAATATTCTCGACTTCTGAACCTTTTAAACAGAAGGTGTGGATTTGAATATAATACCAAACACTGGGGAGGGGTTGTGCACAAAATGTTCTTAACTTCTTTCCCGCTTCGTTACCTCGGCCCGCGCGAACCAGTGGAGAGTCTTCTCAGGAGACGCCTTTAAAGGAAGAGAAAAGGAAGGGAGTTTCCCGCAACTCGTCCCTCCTTTCTTCCTTCCTTCTCTCTCCTCGCCTCCCTCCCTCCCCCCTCCCGAGGAACATCCCTGGCCCCTGTGATGGAAGAGGATGGCGCGGAGGAGGGGGTGACGAGGGGTTCTGTCCTCGGGCGGCGGCCGCCGGAGATTCCAGGGCTGATATCGCTGATCGGCCTCTCCAGTAGCGGCGAGAGCGACGATAGCGATGATAGCGTTGATAGCGACGACAGCGACGACAGCGACGACAGCGACGAGGAGGAAGGTATACGGAAGTCGAGCCGCAGCGAGGATAAGCGGAGGAGAGTCGAAGAGTCTGCGGACCCGGAGATGCCCTTGAAGAAGAGGAAGTCCGCTTCTGGCGCCGTCGTTGCTCTGCCTGCCGGGTTCCTGGACCCGCTTCCACTGGAGGAGAAGCCGCTGCGGGCTCTGCCTCTTCCCCCTGCGAAGTCGGCGGCGGCTGGGCCTCTCATCCCGGCGATGAGGATTTGTAAGCAGTTCTGGAAGGCAGGGGATTATGAAGGCCACGCCGTGGGGGAGTCATCGTCTCGTTCTGGTATTATATTGCTCTGCATGTCACCGATTAGGCCTCTTTTTCCTTTTTCCCCTTCGTCAATCCATGGCAACGTCTATTTGGTGGAACTTTCAGTTGCAATGTCGCTTCCTTCATTTGAAATCCTCTTTTTTTATTGTTGTGGTTACGATCATCATTAGTTTTATTAACTTATTGCGTTATTTTCCAGAGCAAATAGTTCATCCTCATGATATAAAGGGGCAAGATCAGAATTAAAATCTTAATAAAGGAGGCATCAGATGTTGAGTAGTGGATCTATATCACCTTCCTCTTTTAGTCTTTTTCCTGACATTGGGGGCAATAAATTTACTGTAAAGTTTCCAATTTTTTCTTTTATTGAAGGGCGGCTGCAGGCTGCGTGAGAAGATTAAATAAAAGTTCCATGTGTTTTCAGACTATTTCGGTCTGTGATTCGTGAGACCAGTTGTCTGCTATAATGGTGTTCGTTAGTTGGAGTAACTTGTGTTGGTACCTTGAGTCCTGGAAGGGGATTTGTCAACAATAGAATAGTATGCAAGTGGAGGAGGTATACGTGGGAGGTAATGAATAGAGTCTCCCGGGGAAATAGTAGAGAGCCTCCTTGGAAGCTTGCAGAATATCTTCAGCGTGACATAATGAACTGAGAAACTCTGGTGGGGCTCATGAGATAGGAAAATCGGTGAAATGTGTTCTAATCTTAATTCACTTGACATAATAAGGAATCACCATCTGATCTTTGTATCTTGTGTGCTCTCAGATGGATGTTCAGTTTTTTCCGCAGTGTGGATTCTCCATGTGACTTATTGGAGAAGTCTAGTTAATCTCTGACGTCATGAATATCTTTCAAAATTGTTCATTCCTTGGAACTCCAAAGTAAAAAATGCCGGATAAATCTCACAAGTACATTTGCTCTAAGGTTTGGCCTTTTGTGGATATTCTTCCAACGAATGCCCTCAATTCCAAAATTTTATTTATTTTACAAATTAAATATTATTTTGAAGCTCTTTAATGAAGTGCATTCCACTCAAGAACATGTATTTACACTTTTAAGACTTTCTAAGATCGGAATTTCGGTCCTAGATGTACTTTCTCAGTTTTTGTATGTGATAATTAGCCCATCTCGCAGTTTTAAAGGTTCAAGAATTTTCATGAGATCATTTCAATGTAGACTGTTAAAGGGTAAGTTGCTAGTACTACATGCTCTGAGCTTTGCTGACATATTTACCCATATGTGCAGTTGGCATGGATCACGTGAGGGTTCACCCAAAGTTTTTGCATTCTAATGCTACCAGCCATAAGTGGGCTCTTGGAGGTAATCTATCGTTATGTATTGATAAATTGGGTCTCTCATTCTGATTTTACCTTTTATAGCTTTTACTCTCTTTTATTTTGGTTGGTGACCACACTCGAAAGGAGAAAAGGAACACAATGAAACCTTCACTACATGTCACTAACTGCTTGTCCTTTTTGTCCATTTCTGTTGCAGCTATTGCGGAGCTTTTAGACAATTCTCTTGATGAGGTTTCCTTCTCTCTAATTTCTTTTCATTTGTTCTTTCTAACGTGAATCTGTTGTTATATTTTTTTGTGTGCTCATAATATTATTACATTTTCCCACCAGATTTGCAATGGTGCTACATTCGTTAACATAGATGTGTTGGATAATAAAAAAGACAAGACCAAGATGTTGCTGGTTGAAGGTAAGATTTTTGGTTCGTGGGTAATGTATTCAATAAATATGTTTGAAAATGTTGTTTTGAGTTCGTTGTGTCACTTTCTTTTAGGTTTGCAGCTATCAGATTTTTATGGAAACCATTCAAGCAGTATTATTATTATGTGTTTAAATTTTTCCCTCACACACCTCCAAATCTTTCTAGTACTAACTTTTTCATGCCAATGACGAAAGTTGCATAATCAAGAGAGAAGCCTGAGGCCTTGATGGGCCTAGGGAAATGTATCTGTAACGTAAAAACCAGTTTGACATTTTAGCTGCGCATTTAGATTCATAACACATATGAACCATGTGCTTGTATAATTTTGCTTTGATTTTCTAGACAATGGTGGCGGGATGGATCTGGATAAAATGCGACAATGCATGTCTTTGGGTTACTCAGTGAAGAGCAAATCAGCAAATACAATAGGACAATGTAAGCCAACACCTTGCTCATAATTTTTGAAGGTCCGATGTAAATGATAATGGATTCTAGGTTTTTATCTTAATCAGAGTTTTCATCATTCGAAGTTACAATGCTTTTTATGTTGTCAGATGGAAATGGATTCAAAACAAGCACCATGAGGCTTGGAGCAGATGTTATTGTGTTTTCACGTTGCCGTGGAGAAGGAAAAAGGTTTCATTCTCTTCTCCACATACTTTTTACGAATTTTCTTACGTTGAATATCAGGTTGCTGTGATTTAGGTTAGATTTTTGTTCCCTTGCAGATTTTCTAGGTATTCCTTCTTGTCATGAAATATTAGTGCACGAGTATGAGACGAAACTGTGATCATTGTCAAAAGCCAGTGCCTAATAACATTTCGTGTGACTATCACTGGTCTAAATTACACTTTTATTCTCCAGATTCTAAAAATCACTGCAAGACAATGGCCTGGTTATATTAGACGTTAGTTAGCATACCTTCCTGGCCTCAATTGATCTAAAGTTCTCATCTAGATTATTTTCATGCTATCTGATTTCATGATGAATCTAGCATATCTTCTTGGCCTCAATTGATCTAAAGTTCTCATCTAGATTATTTTCATGCTATCTGATTTCATGATGAATCCAGTATTGTGTTTCCTAATCACGAGTAGGATTTCTTTTCTGTCTGTCTTTTTTTTTTATGGCACCATTTTTTTGTTAAAAAAATAGATTTAATTTTCGAAGTTTGAAATTTCAGATTCATGAATCTTTACATATGGCATCTTGAAAGGTTTTAGTGACTCATCAGAAAGGGTGCAGAGGTCTCTAGCTTCTAGTCTACCCCACAAAGGAGCCAGCCAGGTTTTAGACTGATTCTTTATGGAGACTGCTCTAATTTTCATCCTTTTCTAGTTTTATCGCTTACATCTCATCAAGGCAGTATCTTCTTTTCTGCGGTCGGTGTTACCTATTTTTGGTAGGGAAAAGTCGTCTCTCAGGGCCTGTTTATGTCAATTTTACGGTTATCTCAAACGACTGAGAATGAGCTATTCATTTATTGAAAAATATTTTCTTTGTCGCACTGGGCTTAAAAAAGACAGTTTCTTTGAAAAGCTGTATACTAGTGACACTCACTAGAGCAGAAAGGGTACCAGGTTTCTCAATAGATTGGGCTTTGACTAATTTGCGTTGACTACTGAACCATGCTCAGAAGCCGAGCGGATCTGGTTCTATCAGAAGTTGACTAAGCCTGATCCCTTTGATGCGAATATCCATTGATTCTGTCTTATGTTGCATGCTTTTATGTAAAACAGAACTACTCATTTTCTGCTTAATTTTTAAATTCACTTCAGCTTTTTATTTTAAATATCTTTTTTCTGCTACATAATCTTTGGGAAATGGTTTGCAGCTCCACCCAGAGCATCGGAATGTTGTCGTACACATTTCTAAGGACCACCGGACAAGAAGATATTGTTGTTCCCATGGTAAATCCTGAAAGCATCTTGATAAATTGTGCTTACCATTGGGCTAGAGTGCCGTGGTTGACATGAACTCGTGTGCTCGACTCGTACAATCATTTTTTCGTATACTCCTAGCAAACATAGATGGTAGATCAAATATTATCCAAGAGCTGATTTAGCCCATCTGGCTGATCTGTGGTCTAGACAAAGTCAGTCAATCAAGCACATCTTCTTCTCAGTCCAACAGTTCTTTCTTTCTTTCTTTCTTTTTTCTCAGTGCATTAATCTAGTGGGGTTATATTTTACGTTGACTATCCAGCATCTAATATATATGATGTATCGTTGACATTCACTTGAAAGCTCGACTACGTGGGAGGAGGAATGAAATGGAAGAAGGCGGCGAGATCATCGGAGGCTGATTGGAATAGGAACCTAGAAACCATCCTACAGTGGTCTCCTTATTCGAGTGAAGATGATCTTCTTTACCAGGTGACTGACTCTCAATGGCTTGTCCGCTCAATGTGTCACTTGCCCCTTTTGATGCTACTTCTTTTATTGATCCAGTTCAATCTTTTCCGTCAACTATAAATATATTACATACACAACATGCATGAAAAGGTGCATAGGAACTCTCGGATTGATCAAGATCAATAATGTGCTAGCCTGGCAGTCTAGAGCAAGTCAACGATCTATATATCTCTATGCCGCCAAATCACCACCCTATTAATTAAGCAAGTTGCATCAAGGTTGGGAGGTCGCATCCAAGTATATCATTGCTTTGAAAGGATGATATGATCTGGTATTATATTGAAATAATGTGGAGTAAACTTTGGAGCATGCTTCAGATATTGAAAGGGTCATTCATCTAATGAGTCCAAGTTTTGTGGTCACATTTTTCATGGCCCTTGGGGTGAGGCGTTGACTTTTACTATATCCTTTTTTGGTCATTTGTAGTTTGATTCAATGGCCGATCATGGTACTCGCGTGGTCATATTCAATCTTTGGGAAGACGATCAAGGACAGCTGGAACTTGACTTCGGTGCTGAAAAGGATGTGAGTCCTCTTGGTCTCGAGCAGCATCATTACTTTGAGTGCACATGATCGGCTAGAATCTCATGATATTTTCCCATAAATAATAAATCAACAGGATATACAAATAAGAGGAGTCAACCGGGACGAGAAGAAGATCGAAATGGCGAAGAAATTCCCAAATTCCTGGCATTTCCTCACATATCGGCACTCACTAAGGGTATGTTTCATGTAACTTCATAAGAACATTTCTTCCATCCACCTCACTTCTAGTTCATTCTCCATCTTTTACTCTATCTTATTTCTCTTAATGTATATTAGGATCTACCAGTGGGATCTTGATTTGCAAAAATCATCAATTACTATAATTGTGGCTAACTATTCCTATGATAAATCCAGATGGGCAACCTGGTTTATTCATGCTTTTTGTATATATATATATATATAAAAACAGAACAAACCTGCCCAACTCATCTACTTTTATCCCATACATTCTGTCTCATTAATTTCCATCAAAAGACGCAAATCTAATGCGATGTCAGACCACATGATCATTGAAAATGGTGTAATCTCCGATTCAAATATTGCAAAATCTCCGATTCAGATTATCTTTACCCATTAAATTACTACATTCTGAGCTATTCGACCTGCCCTCTGGCTGTGCAGAGCTACGCTTCAATCCTTTACCTCAGGCTTCCAGAGGGCTTCAGAATGATTCTTCGTGGGAAAGAAATCATCCACCACAGCATAATAGATGATATGATGTTCAAGCAGGAGGTCACCTACAAGCCCCATAACACCAGCGACGGCGTCCCCAGGGATCCGAATGTAAAATCATCCCTCCTTCCTCTCATGTTCGATTCTGCTCCTCAACTGTGATGACCTATGATTCTGTTACCTTCCGTCCCCCTCCAGATGGTCGCCGAGGTGACCGTCGGCTTCGTGAAAGACGCAAAAGACCATGTTGATGTCCAGGGCTTCAATGTCTACCACAAGAACCGGCTCATAAAGGTTTGACACCCTTCTTTGGGCCCACTAAGCTCACTCTCCCAATGAGATCTCTCACCTCACTGTAGTCATGGCTTGTGTTCTCCTCTCTCAGCCTTTCTGGAGGGTCTGGAATGCCTCCGGCAGCGGCGGGCGAGGAGTCATTGGTATTCTACCTCTACCTCTACCTCTACCTCTACCCTATATATATATATATATATATATATATTGATTTGATTGGTTCTCATTCTTGGGGGTGGGTTTTCCGCGTGGTAGGGGTGCTGGAGGCGAACTTTGTTGAGCCGGCGCATGATAAGCAGGATTTTGAGAGAACCATAGTGCTGGCTAGACTTGAGGCCCGGCTGGTTCAGATGCAAAAGGCCTACTGGTTAGTCACTTCTCCTCCCGTCGACCATCTCATGTGATATAATGCCATCTAATCCGTTCTCGTGACCCATCAGGGGGAAGAGCAGCCATTTGGTCGGTTATGATCCGAACAAGAAGAGCCGCCCCAGGGGTCGGCCAATCAAAGGCATAGTCTCTCCATTTCGTCATGTTCTTGGATTTTTTTTATTTTTTGCTGTGTAAGATTGATGAGATCTTCCCACAGGGCCAGTAGCAGAAGAACTCCCAAGCCCGCCATCTGGGCATTCTAAGAAGGAGAGGAGCTCCCTGTCCCTGATGGAATCGAGCAGAGAGGAGGACGGGAGATGCTTCAACGGGGATTCTACTCCTAGAAGGGAAAACCAGAGCAACCAAGGACTGTGCATGGTGGGCAATCAGAGGCATGACGAATCCGAAAACGCCGCCAGTTCCAGCCCCTCTACGGCTTCTCGTCCAAGAGGGCAGCCCAGCCAAATCGCCATCAAGTCAGAACCAGAGGTCCTCAAAGAAGTTCCTTCCTTATCAGTGTGATTTCAAGGCAACAAAATCTTGGCCTGCTCCTTCATCAAACTCTGCCTTTTGATGCAGGAAGCGGGGGGTAGCAACTATAAACAAGGCCGCCATATCTCCCGTTGTTCTAACCAAGAACAGCTGAGGAGTGAAATCCTCCGGCTGCAAGACAGGTACTAGTCTGCTCATTTACACTGTTTGCTATATCATCAGAGGAATGGAAGGCTAACCATGACCTTGGCTCTCTAGTCTAAGGAAATCGGAGGACCGTGGGAAAGCATTAGCCGCCAGGGTAAGAGCTCCTGTCCTGATCTCCGTTGTGGAAATCCTATCGGTCTATCTAGTTGTCAGGCTTGGTCATGCACACTGGGTTGACATGAACTTGCAGCTAGGAGAAGTGGAGAGAAAGCTGGAGCAGGCAACTGAAGAGCAGGAGGCCCTCATCGATTTGTTCTCCGAGGAGCGGATTCGGAGGGAGAGAGAGGAGGAGAAGCTGAGAAAGATGCTCAAGGATGCTTCTACCACCATTAATGAGCTGCTAGAGAAGCTGTCCAAGGACAGGAGATGAAGGAGAGTAAAGCTGAGGGTGGACCCCACGAGGTAAAGGCGCCCTCCGGGGGGGGTTTCACAATTTTGTAAACAGTTATTCAAATGCCACTATTTTCTCTTTTTTTTTAATCGAAAATCGGAGTTGAGCTCATGAACTTGGTCAAGTTAAACAAAAGAATTAGATCAAAAAATAATGTTGACCTCGGTTCAGGGTACTAGTAGAAACTCCTACGAGTGGGCTAGTAAGAGTCTGGTTGTAACCGAGTCCCACTTCAAAAAAAAATTAAAAAAAAATCTTGGAAGAAATCAACATCTTATTTCTTTTTTCAAAAAAAAGAGTATATATCTTACATTAATCACTGAAGATCGGAGAGTGATGGAAAAAAGGGCGGGAGAAAAATCGTGTGAAGAGTTATCAAAGAATGGAGGGCCATTATTTATGTTCAATGTGTTGATGACAACAATACGAGCTCATGATCTATCAAGAACTATGGTAGTAGTAATCGTTCAATTTTTTAATTGGCATTAATATTTTATTTTAGAGTAAATGGGTCTAAAATATTTTATATATCTATAATTTATTTTTTGATATATGTTTATGGAAAGGGATTAAATATTGTTGAGATAAGTTGTCACTTTTGAGATAGCATGGAGGCATACATCACATGCTCAAAGTTAGAGGAATTGTCTAAAGAAAAATTGAGTGAAAACGGCAGTAAAAGATACAAATCACAAGCATTAACATTTATTAGCTATGTGCAATTTAATTATAACTAGATGCTTACATAAGTTAAAACCAAAATATACATTACAGCTATTGAATATGCTTGTCCCAACTCAAAATCTAATTAAATTAAAATCTCAAAACTAAATCGTTAAATCTATATTTAGACATAGTAATAAATTCAACCAACATCTCAATCTTACTATAATCAATTTCATCTCATGCTCATTCCTCTTCTCCATTACTATAGCATTGCTCCTCATGTTAATATTGGAGTTACTTATTACATTAGATTGAAATCTAGGTTAAGCTTGAGGATTAGAAAATACAAAGAGTTTAAGACTAAGAAAGGGTTTAATATGATTAATTATCTCTAGGTCCTTTCAAACCATTGAATAAGGGATAAGCCATCGATTATTCTTATAAAGTACCTTGCAATGAAGAATTCATCGTTTGAGTTGATAAACAAGATTATTTGTCAAAATATTATATTAATGTTGGATAATTATTTTCATTTTTCTTAAAAGAAGACAATATAAGAGGGTATAAGGGCAGATAGACTAGTGATATTTATGTTGGAATGTTGATTTGATTACAACAAAATGTAAAAGTTTGATTGATTAGAATTGAACTAACTCTAAATGACATTGAACACATATTAAATGTTTTAATCACTACACTACAAAGTTTATTTTAATGTAGAGATTAGAAGTTTTAATCACCATTTAAGAATGTCTACTCACACTAGTTGTAATGTTTCTTATTTTTAGACTTAAATTTCTGTCACTAATATAAGCATGCAACTCAATGAAAAGATATTTCAAATAAAGATATGATCAACAAAAAATGCAGATAAATTAAAAAAATCAATATTGACATAAATTTTCCAAGATCAAAAAGTATATCATAAAGTAAAGTTTAGGCATTGATATGAGAATAGTCCAATTTCTAATAGTTATTAACCATTGAGAACAACTATTAGATGCCCTAAAACTCACTTCACCATGGGAAACTTTACCTCAAATTGAATAAAGAAGAGAGGGAGTCATCGTTCCATTCATATAAGCCCACATTCAATTCATTTCAAAAGGAGAAGAAAATCAGTTTAACTCTTTCAAAGAGGTCAATGAGTAGATCTAGAACAACAAAAGCAAATAAAGAGGAGATCTAGTCAACTAAATAAATAAATAATGCTTGTTGGAACGATATCAATGTACTTTCTAGATTATGCAATCAATTTGGTAATATTACAGACATTTATTATGTATCTTTATAAATTAGAAAGCACACTAATCAACACTACCATGGACTTAAACATTGAAGTACAATACCACTCAAGTTTGATCACACCTTGAGTTGTTTTACAGTCCAAAACTCATAAATGTCACAGTTTGAAAGTGTCATGAGATATTGGTGGGTCATGACTAACAAAGCTAGTGGAGGAGAAAATGTCCTTTGATAATATATTTGGTAGGATGAAGTTAGTAAAACCAAGTACATATTGATTCTACAAAATCAATCCAAATGTTAGTTCATGAAGCACTAAAACAACTGATAGCCCAACAGATTATTGGGCTTATAGGGTGAAGTAATATTCATAGAAGACAAATAGAAACCCAAAAGATCATCTCCTTAGATAGTGGGTGTAAGTTGAGAGTCCAACTACTATAAAGTAGTCCTTTGCGCAGTAGTAAATTAGAAAAACAATCTAACTAACACAATTATATTACATTGTCTAATTCTTTCCAAACTAGAATATACAAGTCTTGGTAAATTATGTTCATTCAATTCTGCTGCTAAGTAAGATACAATCTAAAATTGGACCAATTATTATAAGTGGCATTATTAAGAAGTTTAATTCTCAAATTTTCTATGAAAAGAATTGAGGATGATCAATTAATAGTAATCTCAATTTAGTCTATTCAGTCCCATCTATATTACATTAGTTGTCTTATGGTTCTTCATCTTGGAGGGGCATAAAAGGGGGACATGTATGACCCTAGGATAGCTAGTGTAGTTTAGAGGGGGACCAAAAACGAACTTAATCATATTTTATACTAATCCATGACATCTAATTCACATGAGTGTAATATTTATAACTAAGATTCATAATCCAATTGTTGTGAAATAAGTGATTTGTTTCTATAACACATGCCTGGTATGTTGGATTGAAATACATTTGCACTTGGGTTTGATAGCACTTGAGTTGTTCAGTTGGCTAGAATTAGAGAATTTGGTGGAGTAATAGTGGCATAGTGGACTGTATATTTATTCAAGCCAATAACTTAGTTAGGCGATATTGCCTTAAGACACTCTAATTGAGAGTGTCAATGACTATTCAACCCCTAGGTTTGTTAGCACGTACTTGTAATCTTCAAGAATGATTACTGAAATCCACAAAGTGAGAGCTCTTTGAATACTAGATGTAAGTGTGAGGCTATACCACTTTAGAAATTATGTATGTATCTTACTTGTATGCTTGCTATCAATTTTTAACTACTACAAGAGATTCTTAAATCACAATAAATTTCAACAATTAATCTAATTCACTTGATTAGATTATTCATGTTGATGTCACAATCAATGATCTAAATAGATTACCTATCTATATTGAATTCACTAAAACTCTAAACACTGTAGAAACATATCACTCGTCTCACTCAGACATTGCAAACTATGATGAATTAGATTAGATGTCATTATTCAGTATCAAATATTACCGAGCATGTTCGTGCCCTCTCTATATTACATAAGTTGTCCTATGACTCTTCAACTTGGAGAGGTATGATAGAGGGATGTGAATTGGGCTAGTGATTAAGAAATTTAATTCATGACAAATCAACACATTCAAAATTTGATGCATACTGTAGTTTTAGATGCATAGTAAATTTTCTATTGTAAAATTCAGTGATTAGAAAATTATGATTTATCCATTTAATTATACCCTTAAAAATATAGTGAGTAAAATTTTTAATTAATGATCGATAAAGTATTTAAGATTGACAAGGATAGGGGGAGATAGGCAGCATAAGACAATGGGGGGGCCACTCTAATTTCCTTCAAAAATAATTTATATAACTTTCTCTAATTTAATCATAAATTACTAGTGATTAAAAAAGTTTATCATGGTACAACCGAAGGGACAGATTCATATCCTAAAGGTACCTTACAATGACCTACATCAGCAAATGAAATGATACCGGGGTTATACCCAATGCCGGTGGTTTCTTGAGACCTAAAGCCAATTAACCTTACGTAGAGGCTGGGCAGATCCTAGAAAATATTCAGTTAACGGGTCAGGTCGGAGCTTAACGGATTTCATTCGAACCGAACGCTATTCTTCCCGCGAAACCCCCCCCTTTCCGCCCCCCCCACCGGCCATAGCCGGCGAGGAAGTACGGGAAGCGGCGAACGTACCTCTTGTAGGGGCCAATTTGCCGCCCCACGGGGCCCCTGCCGGTTTCCTGTTATGGAAGCCCCGGCGACAGCGCCATCGCCGGCGAGATCGTCATCCTCCTTCCCCACGCGCGCGATCTCGAGGCGTCGGCGACATGACCTCGTGCGCCGGCGTACCTGACCGTGACTTCGTCCTTCACCGGTCCCCTTCCTCACCGCCGGCTAAGGTTTTGGACCGGTTTCTATAAACAGAAGCTCAGGCATGTCTCTCTCTCCCTCCCTCCCTCTCTCTCTCAGAGTTTCGGAAAACAGATCGACAGGAAGGAGGAAATGGCGGAAGCAAATATGGAGAGAGAGAGAGAGAGAGAGAGAGAGAGAGAGAGAGAGAGAGAGAAAGAGAGAGGGCATACCTTGGAAAGGAAAGGACGTCTTCTCATTCTGCCTCTGCTGCTGCTTCGACTCGGTCGGAGATATGGAAGGAAGCGGCGGGGTGGCCGAGATCTGGGGTAGAGCTCTCTCTCTCTCTCTCTCTCTCTCTCTCTCTCTCTCTCTCTTTCCCTTCAATCTTTGCTTCCGCCATATCTGCCCCGGGCCGAGGAATGTTCGAGATATATATTCCCCACCCGATTTCCGTCGAGTAATAAACCAGGATCGTCTGTAGATCCATGTAGGGAAGAAGATACACGTCGCTATTGATCGCGAATCAGAGCATTTAATTTCATCCAATGGTATGAGAACACGTTTCATAATGCCACGTGTCAATCAATTTTTTTTCCCTTCCGCTTTTTCGCCTCTGTGCGTTGGAACTTGCATTATAAGCGACTGAGTGCTCTCCCTCCCTCCCTCCTCACTGCTCGTGGAGTTGCAGACATTTCAAGCCCGTGTGGACCAGAGTGGGAAGAGAGAACAGATAGAGAGAGAGAGAGAGAAGAGCTTCTCCAACACTTCTTTGGAGAGTTTGGCTGGTTTGGCTGATGGCCATGGCGGCATCCTTCTCGCTGCTGGTTTCTCTCTCCTTTGCGGCTCTCTCGGTGACGCCAGCCATCTTCGTCGTCGCATCACACGGTTTGCTCGTGAAACCTGCTTGTGCCGCCGCCGCAGTCGCGAATCTTCCCATCCCGCGTCATCTTGTTTCCTCGCTTTTGGTCCTCGAAGGTCTCCTGTTCTCATGATAGATGCATATGATCTGAACACTGCGCGTCGCCGGTTGTTTTCTTCTTCATCCGATTTCTGAGCTTTCAATGGAGGTTTCGCCGTACTGATCTCCCTCTTTGTGGAGAAGATGAATGATGCTCTTCGAGTTGCATGTACTTGTGTGTGCTTGCTGTTCGAGTGTGTTTCTTATTCATGGGGAAGGGAGAGAGAACCAGGAGTGATCGGCATGAAACCGTGTACCGCAGGATCGGAGCGCCTAGAAACTCGAGGGGGAGTCTCCACAACGAGACCGGTTGGCTTCCGCGAGGACATCCACTTCGCCTCAGTCCGTCGCGACCGGAATCTCCTTCAACAGCAGCGGCGTGGTACCTTCTCCATCACCATTAGAATGTCCTCTCTTCCGGTCACCATTCCTCTTCGACCTTTTCTTCGTCCGTATTCTCCTCCTTCCTTGTTCTCCTGTCCCTCTGATCAATCATTTGCCGCCTCGACGCCATCTGCTCGTCCTCTGAGCCAGAAAGCCGCATATCACATCACGTGCGGGCCGCTCTCGATGCGACTCATTAATTACGAGCTAAAGCACACATGGTTGGTCCAAGCATTGATTAACTATCGTGGATCCTCGCCTGTACCAAACCGGATGTCCTGGAATCGTACCAGAACGCAGATCTCGATCGTTTCAGTTTTTTTTTTTTGCAGGAGATTCGACTTCTCAGAGGACGAGAAATCAGTTGCATTAGTCCTCCATCGCCTTCGACTTCTTTTCCAGATGTGAGGGAATTAATCCTCGTTTTGGTCCAGGCCAGGAGGCTGGCGGCGGAGAAGGGCGGGAGATGGCGGTGGACCCAGATAGAATGGGCGACGGAGAGTGCAGCAAGGACTACATCGTGGTGTACCAGGCGCCGACGGCGCCGCTGATCAACGGGATTCCAACCTACACGGTGCAGGTGCTCAACACCTGCTTGGGCCAGGGATGCGGTGGCGCCGGCGGTGGGATCGCCGCCGTCCACCTACGCTGCGGGTGGTTCAGCTCCGCCCGCCTGGTCAACCCAAAGGTCTTCCGGCGGCTCGGCTTCGATGACTGCCTGGTCAACGACGGCCGCCCCATCCCCGCCGGCGGCGCCGTCTCCTTCCAGTACGCCAACACCTATCCCTACCGCCTCTCCGTCTCCTCCGTCTCCTGCACCCCCCCAAAATTCCCCTGAACGACCACCTTCCTTTTTCTTCTTCCTCTTCTTCAAGGTTTCTAGGTTTTTATAAGTTTCCCCAAGAGTCTGAGAAGAGCTCGGGGAGGATCCCTTGGAGGAGCAGGCAAAGGCCCTCCTTCTCCAAGCGTCCTCCCCCCCCCTTTCCTACTTCTCTGTGCTTCTTCATCCTCTGCTACCGTGGAGGGATGGGTAGTAGTAGCACTAGTAATAGTAGCAGTAGTCTTCCTCTTCTTCTTCTTCTTCTTCTTCTGCTTCTTCTTCTGCCTTTGTTAACCTTCCGGCGGAGTAAACATCCTCTTCGCCCCATCAGCCACTCTTTCCTCTTTCGGCATCTGGTCTTCGAATTACAGAGAAAAGGGCAGAGAGCGAGAGAGAGAGAGAGAGAGAGAGAGAGAGAGAGAGAGAGAGAGAGAGAGAGAGAGAGATCTGGCACTCGTCATCAACCTGCGGATGGTGTTGTCGACCTCTGGGGGGCGACAGGTGCTGTCGGCCATGCCCGTGGCTGCTGTTGCTGCTGCTCTTTGTGGGGTTTGGTACGGGAAAGGAAGTATTTCTACGACCCCAGTCGCTTTCCTGCATGGGGTCTGTGGAGAATCACCCCGCGACGGCAGGACGTTGCCGCCGCACAGAGCGGAGGATGGTCGGAACTGCCACGTGGCTTCCGGTGGGCCGGTTGCCTGGATGTCGCGGCCATTTCGCAGGGGAGCATTTGTCGCTCAGCTAGACATGAACACGTATGTTAAGAAAAAAAGTCAACGCTTATATAGGTACTTCTCCCTCTCTTTCTCTCCCTCACTCTCTCTCTCTCCCTCTCTCTCTCTCTCTCTCTTTCTCTCTTTCTCTCCCTCACTGACTCCCTCTCCCCCTCTCTCCCCACTCACTTTCTCTCTCTCTCTCTCTCTCCACTCACTCTCTCCCTCCCTCCACTCATTCACTCTCTCTCTCTCCCTCCCCCCCCTCTCTCTCTCTCTCGTGCATGGCTGCATGGGGTGGAGGAGGCGAGGGGATTCTTAATAAGGAATTAAATATAAAAAATCTTCTACCTATACCGTCTATTGCTTTGTTGATAGATAGAGAGAGAGAGAGAGGGGGAGGTTTACTGACATGCTCCTCTAGAATATTAGTTATATCGTTTTTCAATTGGGGGAGGTGGAAATTGTCGTAAAAATCTTGTAGTAACTAGATTATTACAAAAATTCTTTCATAATATTACGGGTTTTGTCAGAAATATTTATTTTCGTAAAATATAAATAATTAAATCCGACCCGGCTGCCCGATTGGATCCGAATGGCCAACGTGGGATCCCGTTTACCCCCCCGTTCTAACCGTGAGCTTCTGCTCCTTCCCGGCGGCTGTAACAGGTGGCACGGCGGCGCCGGCGATGGAGATCGTGTGGCAAACGCCGGCGAACCCGCCGGAGGCCAAGGACTACGTCCGCCGCAACGGTAAATCGGAAACCCTGATCTCAGCCGCCACTAAATCGGCCTCCTTACTTCTCTATGGGCATCATTGCTTGTGTTTTCATGTGAATGATTTGTGTCGGAGGCGGGAATGGTGCAGGGAGGCGCTTTGTGAGGCCGTACTACTTCGAGTTCATCTCCCACGTAAGGTTCCTTCCCCATCCTCTCTTCCTTCTTGCCTTCTCTGATGAGGTTATTAACTCGTGTTGTTCTAGCGCCTGCTTAATCTTGTTCGGGAAATTTGTGTAGGTTAAAAATCGATGGGCGGGGAAGACAATTGTGGACATGTTTGCTGAGGAATTCAAGGGACGGCCTTATGAATACTTCGTACGGACTGACATCTCTCTCTCTCTCTCTCTCTCTCTCTGTTTATCACTTTCTCACGCACATACGTGGCGTAGATGAACCAGATAATCGAGCTATTGTTTTGGTTGTATTGATTTACAGAAGGGAAAATCATGTCGAGTCATCTTACCGTATATAAATTTATATTGGCACCCATTTCCTATAAGTAACAATCCCATGTTCTATCTCTGTTTGGGAAAAGTGTACCTACCATTTCTATGAAGTAACCTGCTCTCCGCAAACTTTTCTTTTTTCTTGAAACAGCTACACAGCACAGTACAACAAAATCGTAGTTGTAAATAAAATTGACATTCTCAACATTGAAATCAATCTGACCTGTATAAGAAAGAAAACTTGTTCAATAAAATATATTTCCCTTGTCTCTTCTCAGGTTCCTTTTAGTGCACTAACTTTCAGTTTAATTGTGCTTGCCAGGTTAGTGCTGTCAAATCTGGAAGGATCCAAGTAGACGGACAAATAGTTCCTATAACATATGTTCTCCGGTCATCTCAGAAAATAAGCCACTTTTTACACAGGTTATTTCATTCTCTAAGTGCTCTCAGCTTATGTGTAACTCAGGTTGTTGTTATATCCTTAAATGTGTTTAATACTGAGCTTTAGCCATTTTAGTGTGTGTCCATGTTTCACCTATATGTTTTTATTTAGTATATTCAGTGGTTTTTAGTTACCTAGGAAGTCATGATGCTGTCCATAGAACTGGATCATCTATCTTTTTGGCTCATGGTTCCCCTCACTTATTGGCATTTTAAGCCAATTACCTTGGAAATTTCTTCTAGATTTCTAGTTTCGTGGCTGCTATAGTTTTCTGCAATCCTTAATTGCAGAAGAAATGCATTAATTTTACACCCTTGTGAGCACCAAAGATGTCACTTTTGTTCATTAGTTCTAAATCCCAAGCTGAACTATTTATTCTCTTAGTTTCTCAAAAAGATTAATATAGTTCATACTTTTTTTAATGATTTTGGTGTTTTTTGTTCATTGAACTGTCTTTAGAAATAAAATTCACGACTATGTCTTTTAGCTTCCCAGGCATGAACCTCCAGTGATGGCCTGGGATATCCCCGTCCTTCATGAAGAACAAGATATTTTGACTGTTTGCAAGCCAGCTTCTGTTCCAGTACGTTAATTTCATTTTACTCCTTTTTTATGAATAATTGATCTCCCTCTCCACTTTCATTCCAAGTTCTTATTTTTCGTCACGTGCTATTATTTTAAATGATCTTGTTCCATGCATTCTTGGATCGATGACATTTGGGCTGAGCTATTCAGTGATTGAGAGTGTAAAATGTAGAATCTGGCAGATAATCCCTTCATGAAAGCTTCATATTTATTTGGAACATGGTACAACTCTGTCTGAAGTTGATGTCTGGAACCTTTCAGATCATTCTTCCATTTAAAGAATCACATGGAAATTCTTATAATGATTAGCCAATTAGTAGATGTGTTCAATTCATGCAGGGAGGGAACATGATAAAGTGTAGTAATAAAGGACGATGACTAGATAAGCACATCTAAGTAAGAATGGCAATGTGGAATCTAACAAAGAACCCCTTCATGAAATTTAATTCATTTTCTGTTTGTAACGTGATACAACTCTGTCTAAAAATACATAATTACAAGTTGATGTTAGAAGTTTCTCTAATCCTTCTTCATTTAAACGTTTTCCATTGGAAGTTTGATGCTAATAACAAGATGTCTTGTAGGTTGAAGAAATCAATGAAACAGGAAATATCCCCTGATGTAGTCAATATTCCTGACTCCTCTTCATTTTAACGTATCCTTTGGAAATTCTCATGGTAATAACAAGAGATCTAGGGAGTGGAAGAAATCAATGAAACAGGAAATTCCCCTTGATGTAGTCCCTATATGAGAGTCTTTCTTTTGTGGATTAGAAAATTTGAGTACTTGGTTAGAAAGATAAAATGGACAAAACGGTTGACGAATAATATCTTTCACTAACCATCCGGAAAGAGGAAATAGTAGAAAGATCTCCTAAGTAATGAGTTGCGGACCAGCAGATAATATTACATGTTGCACTGTGGTTGGCATTTTATAAGATGACTACCGAGATCTGCAAAGGAGACCGTCACATCTGTCTTATTTCAGCCCATGAATCAGAAGGAATTGTTGATACATCTTCACATGATGGCTTTCGAACTAGAACGGGAACCGTACTTTTGACTTTGGCAGTAGAACCAGAAGCATGCGTGTGATGAAAAAGCACTGATGGTTGGGGCCATTACACCAGTTTCATGCTCATGTATCAGCATGAGCAGTGGTGGCAGGCATGCTGACCAACATGTTGTAGTGGTATCCTTGTTGCCGGTGATGCCACGAAAACAATGCTCATATCTAATGGTTTTGAACACTTTTGAAGTGTTGCCAGGATCTATGGCAACTTCCGTTTCTGATAGCCCTCTGTTGATTTTGCTACCCGACCATTCTTTAGCCTTTTTAGAGGCGATATTTCTCTGTGGCTATGGAGCATAGCTGAAGTGGACGATATATCAGGCTCAGGATCCTAGTTGGAGTGACGTGGGAATGAACCACGAGCACATTCTAGGTTACACTAAGGATCCTTGATTACTTGTAAATTGGTGTTCTTGGTGGAAACCAAGTTTTCCTTGTACCGTGGAGTTAATCAGGTTAGAAGATTAATGGAAGGTTAATTTAGCTCATTTATCATAGTTTAAGCCATAACTATAATGCTCTAATCTCCATTGCACAAAGTGCAAATATAACACAATCAGTGGGGGTGGCAATAATTTGTATTCGTAGTGGTGAATAATTGTGTATTTAGAGTACAACTAAGGGGAAGTTTAATGTGCAGCATGCAAAGATGGGAACACCCATGCTCAGGTTCTGTCACGACAAGTTCTTATCCTGCCTTCTTACATGGTCTTGATTTTTCCTCTAGAGCTTTCTTTTGATTTAATCTAAAACTGATCTAATGTCTGCTATATGTTGGAGTCATCATGCATTTTTTCTAGTCTTCTTGAAACATCCTGACCCTTCATCAGTGTTTTTAATAAACTTTAAAATGAAATGTATTTTGAAATTTTTAATTTTATTAGCTTTTCGGTAGCTATCGGCAATTATATCAGTTGACCTAGAAAAAATATATTGAATTTGCCTTATTTTCATATGGGTAAAAAGAATTTAAATGATATAGTTCCTTTTTTACGCAGGTGCATCCATGCGGCCAGTATCGTAAGAATACTGTTGTTGGGATTCTGCAGGCTGAAAATGGCTTAGCGCCTCTGTTTCGTATCCTAATAAGTCCAAATGAGAGAATTTTTATGAGCATGAACTTGTGTGTGGGGGCTGGTCTTTTCCGTACTATATTATTCTTAAGTTATTTATATTCCTTGATTTTACTATGATTTCCTTGACGATAAACTGATTTTTTCAGCTGTGCATCGCCTAGATCGTTTGGTCTCTGGCCTTCTTATTTTTGCCAGGACTGCTGACAAAGCGGACCAACTCAGACAACAGGTTATGTTGTATCCTTTTGAACTCGTTTTTAATCTGTTTTTTTACTGGAAGCCGGCCATTCCTAGTATCACCAGAGGTGGCACACTTTGCATACACTTTAATATTTTTTCTTCTATTGTTCTGTTGCTTGTTACACGGACAAGCATTTTTTCTGTGAGCTAAAATATGGATCTTCACATTTGCGTGAAGACCTTAAGTTGTCAGATCTCTAAAACGTAGCTTCTCTACACTTAAAAGTTTTTCTTGGAAAACAGTTTATTTGAGTTCGTCTATCTTTCCTAGACGTCCTAATAATTTCTCTTTTGCTACAGATCGAGGCAGGACTGCTGCAAAAAGAATATATTGCTAAGGTTATTGGCGTATTTCCTGAAGGAGAGGTACTCCTCATCTTCCGTTGGCTGAAAAATTGGCAACTTATAGTATCCATCTGCTTGTAAGCCACTACTTAATTCCACATCGATTTCATCTTTGAGGAATGGATGATCATTCTCATACCTGATTGAAATAATTATCAGGAACTATGAACGTAAGTTAAGTTGGTATGTCATTACTCTCAATGAACGTATTTCATCTCACTTGGGCAATCACAAAATTAAGATCGTCCAGAAAAATCTCTCTTGATTGAAATGAAATAGTTAGATTCCTGTTAAGTGGTTAGCTAACTACGTGATTAGGAATTAATTAATTCTGCTTATCCCTTACGTTCTTAGTACGCTTTTGAAATGGTATATTACTATCACACTGAAACGAAATGTTAGGCTTTTAATTTCGGTTGAGAATGGGCCAAGGTCAAGCTAGCCTCAGAAACTGGCGGGTTCAACCTTTTCCGGAACGAATTAGAACAGATTATCTGGAATGTAATCCAGCCCAACCTTGGTTTACTGTGGCCTCGCTCTAAGGGCAAGAAGCATTCACCACCAAGGTGACTGACACAAAATTTACAATGGAAATAAGTATAACGAAGATTGATATTGAAGTTCGAACCTGACAGTGGATGTATAAGTTTTGTAACAGATAGTGTGGTTATTTGTTTCTGAAATTAAATGCTTCTTTTGTTTCTACTTTTGTCTACAGGCGTCTACAGTGAATTTTTCATGTTGCTTTTTTTTTTCTGCAGCAAGTTGTCAATGTAAATGTTAACTACAATGCCCGAGAAGGAGTGAGCACAGTGGAGGTATCTCTCTTCTCTGATTTCTTGGTTCCATAGCTTTATTTAATCTCGTTTAGAACTGACGGAATAGCTTTCTTTAGAAAATCAATATATGCTTTCCTCTTAGTATAGCGCAATTTATGTCACTTCTGGCATTCTCGGTTTTGCTTTCAATGCAGTAACTTGATCCTAGTGCCATTCCCCGGTGGATAAGCTAAAGTTATTATCAACCAGCCTGTGTTGTATCACACAGAATACCTCAAGGTTTGACGAATAATATTTCCCCAATTATGATAAGAACAGCTCTAAGTTTTCCCAAGATGGGCAGGTGATCTCAAATTGTGGTAATGTAAAAATTAAGTCATATGGTTGAAATATATAGACCTGTTCAATTCGTGGTCAACTTTCTTTGCATTGGGTGCCATTTATATGTATCATGTCCGTCTTCGTTATCCATAATGTATGAGTTGAAAAGTCAGACCGGACATGAAGATGTCTTTTTACATAGTTTCAAATTCAATGACAACTTAAATCTCCTGGTTAACACCTACGAACTATTATTAATGCCAAATGGATACTCAAAAGCACTCTTGAAGGCTAAGTTGAAACACACTCGAAGGTTTAGTTTTTCTTCGTAACTGTTAGTAGAAGGATGACTCTCTGAGTTCTTGAGATAGATCAAAAGCATCCAATTATGGAAATACTGAAAAAAGAATGGTAGTATAAGTTCACCCACATGGGCATCAAGGTATTTGGTTCCTCCATCATGTTGCATCTATCTTTCCTGCCTAACTACGCCGGATCCTTAGGTTACAACAATCTTTTCATATGTTATGATCCACTGGGTTTGACTTTTTAGTTGAGCAAGTCTGGGAGATGCCCGCTCCACCTGGTGATTAACTTACAGACTCCTTGTGCAGGCACCTGACCAGTCTAATTCACTACCTCTCAAGGGGAAGACGGCCTCCACAAGGTTCACCAGGATATGTACTAATGGGCACCATAGCATAGTCTTGTGTAAGCCCATCACCGGACGGACCCACCAGGTAAAAGAGCAGAAATTTTCAAATAATAAATTAGATAAACTTTCTGAATACTCATTTTTTATAAAAATAATTCCCATGTGAATTCCCCGTTGATATTGTTATCTATTTTAATATTGTAGATACGAGTTCATCTCAAATATACAGGCCACCCCATCGCCAACGACATGCTCTACCTCTCCAACAGTGCTACTATTAGATCGTCTCAAGGAATGGGATCTGATAGAACAGCTAGATCAGCTGCATCAAGAGCAACTTACATGCCCGGTTTTATTCAAGAAGAACTTGATCTAATGGGTGGACATTCAAACCCTGCCGAAGAATTCAACATCGATCCTATGTGTACTCACTGCCCAAATCTTGCTCCCACCGGGTAACACACCTTGGCTTACAGCTTCAGAGATCTTTCGCTGTCAGTGGATTTTTCTTTTTTGTGAATTTACTGTGCAAAGTACAGAATATGATGAAACAGTACTCGTTCTGCAATTTATTATCAGAATAAATTGGAATATCGCTTTTATTATTACATGATATTCTTTTCAATATTGAGATGATAATTCTGTTGAGTACATGAAGATTTCAAGCGTGATCCTAGAACCAGAATTCCTTCTCTATCTGGGCTTTCCTTTTGCAGCAACTTCTTACATTCTGCTAGGGACTTTCTGTGAAGATTTGCTATTATGTTTCTATCAGTATGTGGATCATCTCCATATTTATCTTCTTTTTACGTAGAACTAGGCTTCTGCTTACCTTCTCAACCAGGCAGAAAAGCAGAAAGCCATCACTTTGGTGGCCTTTAAGAACTATGAACTCCCCAAGTACATTAACTCCGATGCATTCTGATACTTATTCCTCCATCTGAATTGGATTCCTCTCATTGGTACCTTTATTTCAGGTACGATGGGCTCGAGGAGGGTCTGTGGCTGCATTGTCTCCGGTACAGTGGGCCTGGTTGGAGCTATGAATGTCCATACCCCAGTTGGGCAACCCTCAGTTGTCAACCCAGGTAATCTTCTCACCAGTACTTGGCTAGTCCGTCATCATGGGTTGCTTTCTGGCTTCATTTCATCTGTATAAGCGGGCTTGCCCAGGGCAGCCCGGCCCATTTTTTGGGGATGGTCAACCTGGGTCTAGGCTTTGATGAGGTCAGGTCACATCCATAGCTGTGGCAGGCATGCCTCAGCTTCCTTGGGCGCAATCCATTGACTCACCTGCACTTGTGGAATGTACAAGTGGTTAGTTCTTTAAGCAAACCACTGGTGTCTGGGTTCCAGCTTGTTTGTTTGACCAAGCCCTGGTGCTGACTCTAGGCATCTTAGATGGGGTAGATGGGGTGCCTCTGATTATTAACGTTGATTGAGGAACTTACGCCCGGTTGACTTTTGAGAATAAAAAACGAGTGATTTACGATTTCTATTGCTAGGTCCCATCCGTACATTGAAGGTGTGAAAAAATATACATATATTATTAAGAATTTTCAGTGGGAAATAGTTTTAAAATAGTTTCAAAATAGTTTTCACTCTAACAAAATGTTATGTTCTTGGCTACTCTGACCAATCAGATTATAGTTATTTCTCCCCTGCCCTGTTTATTTTTAAAGTAAAAAAATGTGATCAACATTCTTACACAGGGTGTTCATGAGCTGAGTTAGCCCCATAGGCTCAGCTCGGATTGACCAAGTTTCTCTTGGCAAGTCAGCGATGATGATTTCATCAAGGATTAGTTTATAAGAGTTTCCACCTAGCAACATTGTCCACTCACACTATTGCAGCGGAACCAAAAGGGTTTGACTTACTAAAATTGTAGAGTTAGAACCACTAAATTAAAAGCTATTAATTTTTATCGACATATTATAATTTTTATCTATATTTGTCTCAGAGCACTTTAGAATTTGATTTTTCAATAATTTTTGTTAGGAAATAGTTGAAAATATTCGTCACCTATCAAAAATTGTCCATTCATGACCAGTATGGAGTTGTCAATAATCTTTTAGTAACTATTTTTTTTTATCCATAAACGTATTTAATTTCAAACATTGTTAATTTTTCATATTCAACTTCGTTTTAGAAAATTAGATTTTTTACAACCCATAAGTTATCTCATCCTAATGAAATATCTCATAGGTTTTTTTTTGCCTTAAACTTTACCTCAATAAGTAAAATGGGCATTGTTTCTTGTGTCACCCAGCCACGTAGCCACTCTTTCCCACTCCCATTAGGGACCCTTCCCTTCCAACGCAGCACCTCTTTAAGAGCTACCACTTCTACCACCATTGAAATGATGATCATAGTAAAACGGTTGACATTTTTTCTAAGGTTTAATTTTGTAAGATTAGAGTCCCTCCTTGCCCTCACCTTATCTGTGGGCACTCGCACTTTTTCTCTAATAAAGACATTTAAATTCCAGATAATCACGCCTTGTGACTTTGTCTGAATAAGCTCATAGGATATATATTATTTATTATTATTAGTATTTATTTTATTTTTAAGCCCTGGAAATTTTGCGCAACCCTTTGGGCCCTCTGTACACGAAAAAGGTTCAAAGCCTCATGAAAAACAAATTTGAGGGCTTTATAAAAAACCCAGATCAGAACTGCGTTAGATCCTCAGACCCATTTTAAGAAAATTACTAGCTTGGTACTTATTTTAGATTCTCTCTAGGAATTCCCCAACCCCTAGTGTTTGGGAGGATCCAAGCACTAGAACTCCCCCTCGCCCTGCTTTTATTGATCAATGATATTCTCTAAGTTTATGATTTAGCAGCAAACCATAATAATATACACCAACTTCACGCCCGTATTGAAATGTTTTAGCACAGGAGAATTGCACGGGAACAAAACCCAAAACAGAGCCCTTTTGTATCACTGTCGGGAAGCTGACTGCGGCGGCGGTGCCGCAGGCAGAGGAGGCTGCTGGGTGAAGAACCCCCCCTCTGATGCTTGGAAACCCTGGTAGGGGCTTGGCTGACCCATATAAGGCGACATGTTGCTACCCATGGGGAAATTGGGCAACGGCGGCGGCCGCTGCAGTGGGACTGCGCCGTAACCATAAGGCACACCAGCCATGGAACCCACCTGCATGTACTGGGCTGGCGGCGGCATTGGGGGCAGGGGCGGCTGCAGTGGCGGCTGCAATGGCAGGCCCGGGAGGGAACCATGCTGGAGCTGAGGCTGCGATGGGTTCAGTGGGTAGGGAGTGGCGAGCTGTGAGGCCTGTTGAGGGATATATGGGGGCGTGCTGCTCTCTAATTTGGGTCTCTTACCGTCAGAAGAAGCTTCTTCCTGTTCTTTCCCCTGCGGGTGGATTGTGCCCTCTGAGGCCAGAGAGGAGAGGACGTAGCTGAGCATCTCGGCGGAGGAAGAGGAGGCCGTGAGCTTGGCCGCCACGGCGGCGGCGGCTGTCTTCCGGTGCTCTTCGGAGTCGGCAGTGCCGCCCAACGCAGGCTCCTGCTGGATGTAGTTGACGGTAGCAGGCTGTTCCTTCCCTGTGGGAGGAGACTGAGCTTCTTCGATGAACGTGGGCGGTGGCTCAGAGAACACCCTGATTTCATTTGGTGATTGCCCGTTGTTGAGAGTACCCAGCCGCTGCGAGATGCTCCCTGCCTGCTCTAATCGAAGCTGAGAAGCCTGAAGACGAAAATATACACAATAATGTTTTTCAAAAAAAATATCAAAAGATAATTTCATTTTCAAGAAGCCCTCTGGCTCTCAAGCTCGTCCATTTTTTTACTAAAAAATGACTGATGAATTTTTTTGATGATGATTGTTTATTAATTTCTAAACTCATTAAAATGTGATTAAATATTGCTCAACATGAGAGAAACCAAAAGAATTTGGAAGAAAAAAAATCAAATATTAGCCACTTGATCGGATAAAGGGGAGCAACCAAAAAAAAAACATTAGTTCTTGAGGCAAAGCAGAGTAAGATGGGATATATATATCTTCTGAGAATGAATATTAGCCAGAAAATACCTGAAGGTGCTTACGAACTTGCTCTAGCTTTAATTCCTGTAAAGCAAGTAACACTGGATTCAAAATTAAGATGAAACATATTTCGATTCGAAGCAAATTTAGAGAGAAACTATACGAGAATCTTATGGGTTCTCATGGTTGACTTCAGCGAGTTGACCCCACCTGCTCATGAAGTGCCTCCCTTAGATTTGAGACAAGAGACACTCTTGATGATTCAGCCATTTTCAATTGTTCAACGCACTCTCTTAAGATCATATGCTGCCCCTCCAACTCCTCCACAACCTGTGAGCCGTTGACATCTCCTGCGGAATAGTGAAGAGAACCAAAGAATCCTCCAATTATCTCTTTCAAATGTTTATTATTTATTTATTTCTTTATTTATTTATTATGAATAAGAAGAACTCAAAAAGGCACCGGGATATATCATCCAAATTGCACAAATATTTAATATAAAATGGATTAATGCATCCAGACAGCTGAAATTACCTAACATGAGGTTGCCATCCATGTCCTTCTCCACTTTCTCAATAGAGCTAATGGCATTCTGACATCTGTCCAATAGAATGAGTTCATCCACAGGACCCTCATACACACGCTTGTAGTTAGAAATGAGCTTCTCCAGTACATCTCCGACAGACTGATTCTGAGATAGAACAAAGGCAGGAGGAAGTTAATAAACCAGGATCCACATCTGCGGAGGAGGGAGGGAAACCCATCCCGAGGAGCGATTGTCCATGAGAATATAGAGAGAGGAAGAAACCCAGGGTCACTCACTAATTTGCTGTTGGGACCCTTTATGTTTCTATTCACGTCAGTATTGAGTTTTCTCCCGAAAATCTCATCTTTCAGAGTCTGCCCACGAGAGCCGAAGACCTTGCGACCTTCCCAGATGTCAACCTGGGCCCCATAAGTTTGACCACATCAAATAAATAAATTTCTAAACCAGGCTAAAAGAACAGCAACCGGCACCATTTTATTAAAAAAGTCAAAGAAGCCAACACACCCCCACCTACAGAGATTAAGGTCTCTGGTAGGTTGACACATATAAACTTATCATGCCATATGAACAGAAAAATTGTGATTGTGAACCATTTAAAATCTGTTCTTATAGACTGAGCCGAAAGAGCAGGAAATCATTTCACATCAGCATCAGTAAAGATTTCTGTTGCATAAACTATGAATGCTGCGTTGCAGAGAATGTCACTGAGCGTGTGACATGTAGCATGCCTGATAACCATTTTAAAACACGACACAGATAAATTATGCTCATATTTGCATCTGCTCATGTTCTTATCAAAATAAGAACCATGTTTGAAAATGGCGGAAGTCCTTTTTTATTTCCAGAAGATTTTGCTGATATTATGCTTGGCATATCCTGAAATATGATGATGATGAGCTAATTGTTCTTGGACTTCTAAATTGCAGATAGATTGCGGTCAAAGTCCTGTAATTATCCTTGTGGGATGATCAAAAAGGTCCAACCATTCCTTTAAGGACCAAATTTTCAACAAAGAGGGTGACGGCATGGAGGGAGGCTTCTAAAGAAAGGCACAAAAAGGTAGCCTCAAACTGTAGGTAGCCAGATGTATGAACTATTAACTCATATATGTGCTAGCCAGATGTATGATATTGCCGCTGTAGGTAGCTTTCTAAACATCACCTTAACACCAGAAATCATTAAATGAGTTCACCAATGCCACTAGAACTGCTTACTGCCCACATGTGAGTCGCAGAGACTTGATGAGATAGAAGAATGGTAGATCATGCTTTGATGAATTTCTTCATAATGAGAAAAGGAAATGCCTAACGCAGGCAACACTGCTTATTTCTCATTCCAGAAGGTTCATAATTCAATCTTCAGTGCAAATATCCACCTTAAGTAGAACTTATTTTAGTGCAGAACTACGTCCTCGTGGCAAATCCAAAGTGTCAATGAAAATAGAAGCAAGGTAACTCTAGTGTTGAGACCGCAGATTAGCCCAGATATTGGCTCAGAGATCTAGGGAAGAGGAGAACTCATATGCCAAACGCCAATTGAGTGGTCATAGCCTGGCAACCATGTCATTGTTATGTGAACCGTATCTTGCGCCGTGAACCGTATCAGATGTCAAATCTGAAGCAACATCACAAACCAAGATGGTAGAAAAGAGGGAAATGATATCACAATCAAACTGATTGTGGACCTTTCTGTCATCTAAAGACAGGAAAGTCGGTCGATAGATGCACAAATAGGGAAAAAAACCCAAGAAAGATAGAAGTATTAGCAAGGTCTTGAATACTCAAAATAATCATATACTAGAGAAGATGGATAAACCAGCATGGCAATACTCATAAATAGGCACAAAGAGATAGGTGAATCAACATATGAATAGGAGGAAACAATGTATGTGAAGACGAAAATTCAAAAATTTCCAATATTAGATAAATGATAAGACACTTCTCACCACCAAACACAAACGTCAGACATGAACATCAACACTAACAAATAGACACCCACTAACACTCCAGATGGATGAATAACGGATGCACACTTAATCAACTAAATCCCAAATAAATGAAAAAGCCCAAAAAAAAAAAAACACAATCAGCAAAGTCGAGAGAGAGAGAGAGAGAGAGAGAGAGAGAGAGAGAGATCCTCCTATGTGTATACATTGTTCGCTAGTATACAAAAGTGATTTAAAACTTTTATTAAAAACATAAAAGAAAGTCCTTACAAGCCTCACTGCAGCGCTTCTTCCGAATTCATCACCATTCTCCATTACATTATTTAAAGCATCAGGGAGGACCTTCCAGAACTCGTTCACAAACTCCAAACCTTTTCGCCTGCTATTCTGCAGAATGTCATTAGCCAGATATAGAAAGGAAACCCACTGGCTCTTTGGTGCACAATGGAACTGCCGGTCCCATGTTTCCACAACTTGCTTTGCATTTTTTCTATGGAAGATGCACCAGTGTGAAAGAGCTTGAATCTGTTAAGGATGTCCTTCAAGGATAAATTGCATAGACTTTGATACGGTGGAGGGAAAAACCAATAAGGGAATGAACATCATGAGTTAATGTAAACAATGCTGAGATCCAAGATCCTACCAACAAAATCAACACGAATAGCACTTCCCCTCTGAGTCAAGAACATCAGCGTCAACAAAAGAATATGATGTAGATATCTAAAAACTAAACATAAACCTCTGAACCGACCAAAAAACCAGTCGAGTTGAGCTCTAATTGATGAAGTGAAACACCCATCATTGCCAAGCAAGCCAGAGCCATGCAAGAGCTACCTAGTTCTCCCCCTTTATGCATCAATGGTTTCAGGCTAGTCAGGACAAGGCTGGATATTTACACAAGCTTTCCTGAGTTTAACTCTGCCGCCCACAAGACGCAGAACAAACAATTAATCTTCCATTGGGCCCCATGCTTAATCCATACTCTCCTCAATTTCTCAAACTATTTACAATAACTTATGACTGAAGACAAGTAAGACATAAAAATTACCTTGCAGGATAGTTTCCAAAGAAGAAAATAGTCAAACCAGAGCAACCTTAAGCCACCAGAGAAATGTAATCTCTATAAAGAACAATTTTCGAAGCTTGTTTAGAACAGCCCAAGCAGCATATATTTGCAAGCTTTCTGGAACACCAAACAGGGCATCAATAGCGAAAAACAAATCAATATGCATCGTGAAAAAGTAAAGGAAAGTTAAAGGGAAAATAATCGTCTCTCAACATTGACAACCATGTTACAAGCAAACCCATTTTCTGGATTCCGGGAAATGTATTATTATTTCTTATGAATATGTAAATCAAAGATAATTGCAGACATGAGATAGCGATTAGTCATTTATCTCCATGTTGAAGTAAACAAATGAGAACATAAGAACAGGATACTCTCTATGCTCTGTTGCGAACTATTGAGCTTTGACAGCTTGTCAACCAAGATTTGCCCATTAAATGTCCCGTTCATTGTCTCGGTTCAACACTTTCCCCAGCGAGATGGGATAAAACACCTGAAGAAATTAAAACGAAGAAAAGAACGGACAAATTAGTTTACAGTAAAAGGGAAAGAATAGAAAAGCAACAGGCACCAAAGCTCTAGGAAAAATATAGCACTATAAAACGCACGCATTAACAGTACAAAACAACAGCCCCAATTTCCTTAGCATTTTTCATCCATCGAGAAATATCCACGATGCAAGATTTTCCCAGTGAGTCCAAAGAGAAATGGAATATCTAAAAAAAATAGTTTCTGAGGCAGAGCTTCTTGAGATTTAAGAAATATTTCAAACCATGTATGCACATCGTTAGATAAATAAATCGAAGAGATCTAACATGACCAAGACAGACATTTGATGTGATTTTGACAGATAAAAAATGCATCAAAGTTAACTAACCTGAAGACTTAATGAGACGTCCACATTGCTGACTTTTCATCCTACCTTAACAACAGAACTAATTATCTAGAAAGCACTGAGCAGCCATCACATTCAGACAGCAACTGCCCAGTCAACTGGGACTTCGAGCTACTGTTTACATCCATATACCACAGTCATATTTTACTCTCTTTCTACAGAAACTAATAAAAAGTCATAAGGTATAGAGAGTGAAGATCATATTAAATGAGAATTTGAACGAGTTTCTTCACATATATCCTACAGAACAGCCATAAGATTAGACAGAGAAGATTCAATTAGCTGACAATATGAGCTACTGTCCACATGCATATCCTACATTCTAAGCAATTACTGTCATCATCTGTGAAAGTTGGAGAGATGCTAGATTGGCTACAGAGCTACTAAGTAGGAATCTCAGGTATCTCATAGACATGTTACCTAGGTGCACTAACTACCATGATTTCTTTGTAACCACTCACTGGCCAAAGGCTAGACGCGTAGCATATGACCGAACTTGGAGGTGAATTAACTGCTGTATTTTAGATCAATTCAGTGGGCTAACCTGAATTCGAATTCCTAACCTTATGTTCTTCAATCTTACCAATAAACTGAATTTATGGAGCTCTTCTAAAGCGTGTAGTATCTTGTTGTCCTGCTCTCTATCATCCATCAAAATTAATACGATGCCAAAATAAAGTGGATCTTCATATCGGTACTTACACTTGAGAACTAAAGAAAGCGCCAATACTGGTGCCTATTTTTGTGGTTTGTCTTCATGTTCCGTTTTCATACCAAACTATTGTGCACTGCTAGCCTATATTAAGGGAGATCATTCAAAACAAAATCATCTTTGACCAGGCTGTAATTCAAGATACGGTGATTATGGCATGTATCGTCTCTGCTAAAAAACATGAAAATTACAGGGATCACCTTTGTCCTCTCAGTTTCTGTTACTTCAAGCAATGAGCCTATTTTAACGAGCAATATACTTCTCAATCTACTGACATGAATGTCATATTTAACGCAATAAATGATTACTGGTCATTTCCCATGCGATCAAAGGGTACGCTGCTCTCCCTTTGGTTTCGTAAGAAGGCCACAGGCCAGGGATTAGGGTCGCTAAGCGTGTTATAATCAAATAGAGTAAAATGGTCCACTCTGGAACCAAGGGAGTACTAACTTTCTCCCCCTTATGCTACAGTGTCTGACATCCCATAAATAAATGAAATCTACATATTTACAAATAAGTTAGACTCGAATCCTAGAAGGATGAAACAGCCAAAAAGTATTTTTTATGCATAAAAACTATGCTTAAGAGCTTTCACGTAGTGACCAAAAAAGGCGCACATAAAAACTGCAAAGTAAAAACTGCAAAGGAGCCTGAACTCTAGGAAACGTTAAAATGTGCCAGAGGTTTTGAAATTCGCCGAAGTGGAATCAAAGCTATTACCATAACAAAGACTAACGCATACTAGAAGACCAGACACTAAAAACCAACATCATAAAACCCACATATCCTCAACATGATCTATCTCACTTTTATCTGTTGCATATGTTGTAAGAACTGAAGTCCCAAATCACTATCATTTCACCGTACATCCTTTGAAGGCAATCACTGGTTTGTCATTTAAATCCAAATTCGGTAGTAAAATAATATATATATTTATAGAGAAAAAGACGACCACATTCGTTTTCTGCAACAACTTGCTTGTGTGTCCTGATCTTCCTTCGATCTACCCAGAGTAAAGTTGGCTATCTGGCCTTGTCCCCGTACAACACCGCCACCATGCAGCATGCAAGGTAACGAAGACAAGAAGGCCACAAGGGATTATGTAGAGTTACAAGGCACGTGGATCGAATTCGTAGCCTCCATCTCTACTCTCGGAGAGGAACACAGGTGCGGAAAAACCGAGGAAGGCAGTAGAGTATATATGTGAAATTTCAATCAAAGGCCATAACCCAATGACACAATTTACGCTTCTAAAAGTGACTGATTTTTCCCCGGATCGGTCTACATTTGTCTAGCTGACGAAAGAAACCAGTAGACGACCCGACCACGACGGTGAGAACAGCGATTAAAACATGACGGAAGAATCTACCAAAAGCCCAACAAGCTTGAGCTCGACCATCGGCTGACCCAAAAATGGAAGACCCAAAATCGGGGAACCAAGAAAGAAAAATGCGGGGGGGAGAGAGCAAGTGCCAAGAAGTCTAAACAAAGTGCCCCCAAAAAACCTGACCTTTTAGACGCAATGCTGTTGTGCTAAGCGAGAGTCCACTGTGAGGGCCAACAGGCCTACGGCTTTACTCATCCTCCGACGGGTGCTCCTTAGAAGAGAAGCAAAGCTAGGGTTCTTCCAGGGTTTCTCCCGCTTATCCTCTTCTCCTTTTCCAAAATATGGAGAAAAGGAAACGAGAGAGAGAAAGTCCGAGGAACGACGGAGCGCGTGCGTCTCTCGTGTGGGCTAGTTGCTCCACCGCCGAGTGGATGATAGGGCGGCGGGGAGGGTTGGTGCAAGACCTGCGTGGAGGGCGGTGATCAGAAGAGGCTTCTCTTTCTCTCTCTCTCTCTCTCTCCCTCCCCCCTGGCGACCCATGTGAGGCAACAAGATTTACGAGCAATGGGTTTCTGAGAGGAGTCCGGTCACCTCCGTCTAAGGTTATCCGATGTCGTAATCGGGGGCGTCAAGTCAGCGTTGCCACCCATTTATAAAAATCCTTCATTCCCACGTGTGGAATTACTTAAATATTTATTTTTCATAAATGGAATAGCCATGAGTTGAGTAATTTATTTTATAACATAAAAATCATATATTTTAGGTTATAGAAAATAATTTTCCAACGCTTAAATAATTACATAAATGCACCATCTTGAGCCTTAAGGAGTCATTATTTACATATATTTAAACTATTTCATAATTTTTCAATGCCTCATAAATAACTTAGTAATTATTTACATGATTTCCTATAGAAATTGCCAAAAGGACCCTTTTCAGTACTCGTTTTGTCATTTTATTTTACGATGTTTTTCTATTTATGGTGATGGTTATGAGATTGATAGTTGTTTAAGAGAGTAAAATCTAAGGTTTAGTGGGCATCATCAACCCGGACTACACTATTATTTACCTTTATTGGGCAGGTACCATAAAACCTAGAGCGGCCCAGACTATCATGAGATGCTCTCTCTCTCTCTCTCTCTCTCTCTCTCTCTCTCTCTCTTATATAGCTTCAGATAGCTATACATGGAGGGTTGATTGAGTCATATGTTTTCCATAGTTATCCAGGTCCTGATGCTACTCATCCAAGCTCTGTTCAAAGATGTAGGAGACATTGAGAGAAGGAGCTTGACAATGCTTACGTCAAGTTCCGTTGACTTTCTATGACAATTTTTCATAAATCTACAATGTTTATACAAGTATGGAATACTTCTGGGTCGGTCAGATAAAACTGTCGTCTGATATTTTTTGGGTAGAGTTCGTGGACTTTTCGTGTATGTACTTGCTGCGATCATCCAGCGTTCGTGGATTTGTTTTTATTTTTCTGATTGATGGGCGTTATAGTATTGTGAAAAAGGGGAGATTTTTATTATAAAAATGTCGAAATGATTTCTTCCTGGGTTTCTAATTCTGATTTCAGCGGCTCCCAAAGTCCCCAGGCTTCCGTCGGCTAGATTTGATTGCTGTCAAAAGCAGTCTCAAACGGCTGGCACAGCGGTTTCTTCGTTCACACGGGCTCATGCCGAGGTCAAAAGCTCTCGGACTGAGAGGACCAGCTAAGAACAGTAAAACTGTGTTCAAAGCGTCTGCTTCACTGTAATTTAATGGCTGGCATGAACTGTGGATTTTTGCGAGAGACTGCGAGGGCGGGGGTTAACCCAGAAGATCCTGGTGGAGCTGCCGATCACGATTTTTGAGTAAATCGCATCTTTTTCTCTGCTAATGGAGCTGTATAAATTATTAAATGAGAGACCTCTCCCTCTCCCCTCTCTCCCTCTCTCTCTTCCTCCTGTCTCTCTCTCTCTATCACTGGTGTCTTCGTCCGGGTTCCTCGATGCCTTCTTGCGATAAGGTCGTGCCATTTGCAGGCATTCCCATTTGTTCCATCCGGTTTCTTGTTTCCCTGATTTAGATCTCGAATTCAGTCCGAGCCCGGATAAATTTTCTGCTCGTGGAAGCTCGCTCTCTCGCCGGAGCAGGTCGTTGACGGCGCCGGCGAGGGAGGGTTCGTGGAGATGGGGATTTGAAGGATAGCTCTCCCCTCCCTTTCCTTATTTGGTGCCATGAGGTGCTTCTCGTGCTTCGATTCCAAGGAGGCGGAGCAGCTGAATCCCCGGAATGGGGCCGACGAGCGGCGGGACGAGTCGCCGATGGTTCCTCCCCAGGTTCATCGACTGGCCTCAGGTTGGGCTCCTCTCGCCGCCTCTGATTCATCTAGTCGATTAGCACCTTTCAGTACTCCATTAACGGGACGATCTGATCTCCCTCCCATGGGATTCGTACTCGCCGGTTCTCGGGTCGCGGGATTTTTCTCGATTTGTTCTTCCCTGTAATCGGCCGGACGCCGGAATTAGGTGAATAGATTGCGGAATCTGTTCAGCGATTGCCTGGATTCTCGTTCATCTTGGGGAATTTGCTGTTGATTGATCTTTATTCAGTCCATTGACTTTGATCCGATCATGGAAGATGGCCCTTCCAGAGGACCTGGTTTGATCGAGATCTCCGACAGACGTGTTTTCGGTGGCTTTGATCTCAATTCTCTATTATACCATCTCTCTTTCCCTTGAGCCGCTTATCACATCCCATTCAAAATCATTTCTCTCTCTCTCTCTCTCTCTCTCTCTCTCTCTCTCTCTCTCTCTCTCTCTATGGGTTCTATGTGATTGGGGGGAGACTCTCGTAGATGATCAGGCCTCCTGATCTTACCAGGAAGACAGCAACAACCCTGATCGGATTGGGGCCGTAGAAACCTGTTTTATTTATTTTGGAGGCCTAGTTTGTACTGGGTTTTTTGGGAGATCGATCTGGGTTTCATTTATATCTGCCAAATCGAGGATAATCTGGTTCTGATCGAGTGTTCTTATGACTTCTCAGGGGCCGATAGACAAAGACCTAAGAGCAATGCAAGCTCTAAAAAGGAAACACAGATCCAAAAGGATGGGGCCGGCATCAACATATCAGCCCACATATTCGCCTTCAGGGAACTTGCCACGGCGACAAAGAATTTCAGCCCAGAATGTTTCTTGGGGGAAGGAGGTTTTGGAAGGGTCTACAGGGGTTGGCTTCAAAACTCTGGCCAGGTAAAGCCATTCATAAGATGGGAAGAACCATCTATTTTCGGTTTCAGAGTATCTCAAGAACATTTGGATGGGCTTGGACATCGGTTCCCTTTTGTTTTATATAGTTTTGGAAATCTGCGATGGGCTGATATATTGCTTGAAATTATCTTTTTTTTTTTACAAGGGCTGGCTTGAAATCTCTAGTCAAGCAGAGTTGTTCAAAGTTCAGGACAAAATATCTATTCTTTTGGTTATGTTTAATATTTATATGGATGAATAGAATATATTTCCCTTTTTTTTAATTCTGGAAATCACATGATGGGCCGATATATTGCTGTCGATTTAGAATTTTGGAATTATATGGTGGCTTCAAATCTTTTGCGATGTAAAATTGTTCAAGATGTGGGAAGAAGGATCTATTTTTGTTTTGATTATGATTAGTATCTAATTTGGTTAGAACGAATTTAATCATTTTTAATTCGGGAAAATATGTGATGGGTGAAAATAATGATGCTCATTTTTTAACTGTATATTAAATATTAAACTATTATGATCCACTTAGAGCCATGAATCTAGAAGAGTTTATAGACGAAATCATGTGGGAGTTGAAATTTAATTCCTGGCGTTGAAATTATTGGTGCTTGGCAGGTTGTTGCTGTGAAGCAACTGGACAGAAATGGGCTGCAAGGAAACAGAGAATTTCTGGTGGAGGTTTTGATGCTTAGCCTCTTGCATCACCCCAACCTGGTTAATTTGATCGGTTACTGTGCTGATGGGGATCAACGCCTACTCGTATACGAGTATATGCCCCTGGGTTCGCTGGAGGATCATCTGCATGGTATGAACTATGCTAATATATAAATATCGATTCAAACTTTGCATCCAATTGTTCACTTCTTGAACAGATATTTCTTCACCGTGCTCGCTGCTGTAGGATCATTGACATTGTTTGATTTATGCCAATATTTTTATTTTTTAATTCAAGTTTCTATGATTGAGAGAAACTTTGCAGGGCATCATGTGATCGTCATATTCTCGGTGGAAGATTGAAAATTTTAAATGAAAAAAAATCTTGTTTGCTTCAGAGTGCTGAGATCATAGACCAAAGTGATTCTGCATGGGATGCTGAAGATAGTGGCCCTAAGTAGCCCTATAGGCCATCTTGTGTGGTTTGATCCTGCAGAGATCAATTTTTCTTAGGCTTCAAGGGAAGAGAGAATACTGAACAGAGCTTGGATGGAAACAATGAACTGAAGTTATTGCTTAACCTATGCTTGCTGAATGCTAATATCATGTGTGGGGTTGGTGGGATGTGAAGGTTCTCTAGGTGGGTGATGATTACTAGTTCTTGATCTCTGATTCCTCTAATAAAAATATCATGTAATGTGGGGTGTAATTATAAAAATCGAAATAATTCCAGAGTTCCATTCAATTGAAGGAGGGTAAATGGCCCTGAAAATGAAGAAATCCTCCTGGATTTCTGGCCCAAATGTTCATCTCATCCGACTGGCTGTCTATCTATCAGACATCAAAACCATCCTATACCATGAAAAAAAGAAAACAAAAATCAACCAGTGAGATAAAAAAAATTGGAACGACTATGTAAGTTCATGCATTGAATTCTTGAACTTGGGTTTTTCCTATTCAACTCGCAGCAAAGAGGTGGGGAACTTTGGGGCTTGCTTACTCATCTTGAAAACCACGGAGAACAGATATTATTGCTTCAAAACTCCCCTTCTACCTCAATGAACCCCACATTTCCCCTCCCGTCTCTTTGGCATTTGGTGTCTACATGAGAACCCAAATATGAACGGTGCCCAGTTCCTCTGTGCATGAGGGCTTTGCTTCCCTAAAATATCACTGCTCCTCTTCAGCAAAAGGATAGATTGCCGCTGGTTTTCTCAGTGTGACTCTCATGTGTGGCACTTTGGTACCCCTTTTTGTTGCAAACTATTCTGTACAACAGTCAAAAAGCCCGTTCATCTCATTGGTCTATCTTAGCAAATAGTCAGACCAGTTGCCTAATTTGATGGACCTCCAGTTTTTCTATCCCTCATCCATCTTCATTCACCCGTTAATTGGCATATTTTGATTGATCCTGACAATTATTCACCCAGTTTCCTATGGTTTTAGCAATCAGTTTCCTATGGTTCATCATCCATCTTTCTGTGTTGACGCATACTTAAATTTCATGGGGACATTGAAAGATTTATATCTTTAATTAATGTTCAATCATTAGTTCAAAAAATTATATAATGTTGTGATTATTATTTGTACCCTCTGCTCCATCCAAACATCGATCTGCAGTTGTAAGCTTCAACCTGATAATCATTCCATCTTTCGGGTGTTAAAAATATATGGAAAACGGGGCATAATGATCTGATTGTAGCCTGTGGGATGCTGACCCTGCACTCTCTCGGGTTAAACGTTCACTAACTGTAGGAACATCTTCATGCCTACTAATCTGGGGATTTGAAGCCTGAGATTCCATCTGCAGATCTCCCTCCCGAGAAGGAGCCCTTGCAGTGGAATACAAGGATGAAGATCGCAGCTGGTGCGGCAAAGGGTCTGGAGTACCTCCATGACAAGGCCAATCCGCCCGTTATTTACAGAGACTTCAAGCCGTCGAACATACTCTTGGATGAAGCTTACCATCCTAAACTCTCGGATTTCGGGCTCGCAAAACTCGGGCCCATGGGTGACAAGTCTCATGTCTCAACCAGAGTCATGGGAACTTATGGCTACTGTGCTCCCGAGTATGCCATGACCGGGCAGCTGACAGTCAAGTCTGACGTCTACAGCTTCGGTGTTGTGCTGCTGGAGCTCATCACCGGGAGGAAGGCCATCGACAGCACCAGAGCTCACGGAGAACAGAACCTTGTTTCCTGGGTAATTAACCACTCACTTTATATATCTCCGGTTGGTTTTGGTTTTAGATTTGTTTTTTTTCTACAAATGTTGAAAGGGTTTTCCTCGAAAGGTTGAATAAAACATCGTTCTCTGGAAATGATTTCTCTGTTTGATTCAGTTGTATATTTGTTTCCTCATTAGTTGAAGTACTTAATTTTCTTTTTCATCTAAATTTTCTGTGGGTTTTCCCTCATGTGGGTTGATGAAACCTTGTTTTGCAAGTGATGAACCGCTTGATTTGGTTTTAAATTAGTCCTGATGAACTGAACAGTCGATTCTTTTTCTAAATTTTCCGTGGATTTCCCTCAGAAAGGTGATCAACTGCTTGCTTCGGTTTTAGATTTGATCCCTGATCAGTGGAATTATTGAGTTTTTTTTGCTTCTAAACTGACTTTAGATTTTCCATGAAAGGGTTGGACAGTATGATCACAAGCTTTTTTTCTGAATTTTTTTTATTCCTGCAAATTGAGTAATTACTTCCTTGATTTCTCTGGCTGATTTAGTTTTAAATTTGATTCCTAGTGCTGCCGATTTTCCTCAAAATGGTTGAAGAAAACCTGGTTTCGTGGGGATGAATCTGCTTGATTCGGTTAATTAAGTTGATGATTCCTTTTATTTTTTTCCTAAAAAGGATCGGAAAATGTGATCACTGGCTGACTCGTACGACTGCAATTTTTTTCATTTGTCTAAATTCTGTTACTTATCATGGGTAACTAGCCGCTTGATTAATCTGCAATATTCTACTTTAATTTTTTTCTAAATTTGCCATAGATTCTCCTCAAAAGGGTTTTAAAATGTGATCACCTGCTTTTTTTTTTCTGAATTTTTTAATTCGTCCAAATTTACTAACTTCCACGGAAAATAAGCTGCCCAGTTCCTCCTCTTGATTTTGTTCTGGGTCTGATTCATAATCCAAGACTTGATTTTTAATCCAACAAGCGATCACCAACCTTTTCTTCTCTGGAAGCTCTTTGTTCCTCCAAATCCAACGACTTTTCATGGGTAATAAATAACCCGCTCGATCCCTCTGCATGATCCTGCTCAAGATCTGATTCCTGCTCATCTGAATCATGGGCTCTCTTTTTTCTGTAGATTTACCGCATATTTTTATTCCTCATGAGGGCTCAAGAAATTATGATCTGCAAGCAGCCTACTCCTGCTACAACCACACATAACACCGAAATCTCTCGCCTGTTCTTCCTGAAGCAAATCCTGCAATTTCTTTCGGGAAATCTTAGAACACATGGTAGATTCTGTCTCCGAGCAATGAGTTCTTGCCAGCAGGAAGCCTACTCCTGCTACATATACCACCGAAATCTCCGAGCAACCAGACATATACCACCGAAATCTCTCTCCTGTTCTCCTCCAGTAGATCCTGCAATTTCTTACAGCAGACAAATCTTCAGATTCTGTTTTCCGAGCCATGAATTCTCGCAGGAGGGAGGAAGGGAGTGAGGTTTAATCGGAAGATCTGGACGATCCTCTTTCTTACCCTTTTTCAGGCGAGGACCATGTTTAACGACCGGAAGAGGCTTCCGAAGCTGGCGGATCCGAGATTGCAGGGGCAGTACACCATGCGGGGGCTCTACCAGTCGCTCGCCGTCGCCTCCATGTGCATCAACGAGGAGGCCGCCGCCCGCCCCCTCATCGGCGACGTCGTCACCGCCCTCACCTACCTGGCGAACCACTCCTACGAGCCCGCTACCGCCGGCGGCGGCGCTCGCGCCGCCACCGCTGGCGAGCAGGAAGAGAGGAGCGGCAGCAGGTACGCGAGGACGCCGGGGAGGGGCGAGGACGAGGGCGGCTCCGGCAGCAGGTGGGAGGAGCCCCCGGCGGCGGCGACGGCGGCGGCGGTGGCGAAGAGGGATTTTGATCGGGAGAGGGCGGTGGCGGAGGCGAAGCTGTGGGGGGAGAACTGGAGGGAGAAGAGGAGAGCCACCGCCGCCCTGGGGAACCCCGACGGTTAGAAAGCAATTCTCTGGTGCTGCTTCTCCGGTGGGTGGACGGAGGGGGCGAGGAAGAGGGAGAGGGAGAGGGAGAGGGAGAAGGAGAGTGTCTCTCTCTCTCTCTTTGTATTTAGCTCCCTCCTCTTTTCTTCTCCACAGACCGCTACTCTGTCTGTTGGTGCTTCAATAATCGTTAGAAGGCCATCCCTTTTTCTTTCTCTTCCCGTCGCTCTCTCTCTCTTCCCGCTTGGAGTGCTTCTCTCTCTCTCTACTCTCTTCCCCCTCTCTCTCTACTCTGTCTCTCTCTCTCTACTCTCTTCTCCTCTTTCTCTCTCTCTCTCTCTACTCTCTCCCTCCCCCTCTCTCTCTCTCTCTCGCTCGCTCTCTCGCTGTGCCGGGAGGGAAGGAGAATCCGATTCCGACGGACCTGTCGTCATCTCGATCGAGAGCTGGTCGTCTGGGGAGAGAGAAGCCTTGGCAGATGAGTGGATGGAACCCGCGTTTGGATCAGATTTGGGTCCCTTCTTCGATCTCTCTCTCGACACGTTATGGGCTTGACACCCCTGTTGTTGGGCCTCTTCCCTTCGCCGAATAACCATGAATAATGGTCCAAGTCTGACTAGACTGGCCTTATTAATCGACCCACCAATCCCCTCCCTCCCTTCCTCTCTCTCTCTCTCTCTCTCTCTCTCTCTCGCTGTATATATATGTATGGCCAAGTCTGACCAGACTGGCCTTATTAATCGACCCACCAATCCCCTCTCTCTCTGTCTCTCTCTCTCTGTCTCTCTCTCTCCCTCCCTCTCTCTCTCTCTGTATATATATGGGCCAAGTCCGACTAGATTGGTCGCCTTACTAATCGACCTTCTCTCTCTGTCTAGATTTCTGACTACGTACCCTGTGAATAAGCCGAGGGGGGTGGACCGGTTCCGGTGGAGTGGAAGAAGAGATGGAATAGAAGGGCACGCAAGCGATTCGAAGGGAGAAGACGGCCCTCCGCCGCCTGAATAATAATAATAATAATATAATTCTTATTATTATAATACTACTACTAATAATAATCTAAGGGAATAAGTCATCGTTAGAAGACCCCCCCTCCCCCCCACTGGAGCACTGAGTAAACAGAGACAAGCCCCCAAGTCATCCCGCAACCATTGACGTTCCCACGGAAACAAACCCTCTGAGAGCGAGAGAGAGAGAGAGGGGCGAAGACGGTGCCGTGGACGCAGGGAGCATCAGGACCCGTTCTCCAGCGGAAGTAGACGGAGGATCGCATTCACCAAGCCCGTCAGCAACACTCAGTTTCTTCTTCTTCTCTCTCTCTCTGTCTCTGTCTGTCTGTCTCTCTCTCTCTCTCTCTCTACCTGGCTGATCTCCCCACGTCACCCATGCAAATTGATCTTATCGTCTGCTTCTCCCATGCAAGTGCAGATTCCCCCAGTTGGTCCGCATTAAAGAAAGAGATCTACTGTCCCGCGTATCGTCATCGCATTCTCTCAGCGACCATGAAACTGGCGTAGCTGTGGACGCAGAAAGAAAGATATTTAAAACCCTAGGGGTTTTAGCGTTCTCACGCTGGAGTGTACGCCACCATTAGGGCCGTTGGCCTGGTTAAAGTCCGTAGAATAATGGAGGTGATGTCGGGCTAAGCGGCAGCAATCTTCTCCCTGTTGAGAAAAGGGGTCAACGGACCCAACAGGTAATACTCCTGCTTTGACTTTTTCCGCTTCTGGGTTTCGGTCAAAGCTTCGATGAAATCTGAATATAGCAGAAAGCAGCCATTTTTCCGGCCGGTCAAAGCTTTACGAGTGCATTCCATGAGAACTCAATAGAGCAGCTCTCTTGGGAAGCACATCCAAGACACCCAAAGAAATCCAACCTTCCGGTCATAAAGATTTTGCGGCAGTGGGCATTAATTTTCGGTGCGCTGAGCCGTGGAAGCTCCTTTTTTTGTTTATTTAATGCATTATTTATCCCATTTATGGTAATTCGTGGAGGCCCATCTTACGGTATTCGTGTGGATAATTGAGAGCATGTGCCCACATAAATGGTTAACACATTTCTCACTTCTAATAATGTATTTAATATCTTTTGGCAAGCGTAGTTTACCAAATCTTCACTAGGATCCCAACGTGACCCATTTCCTGAGAAATATTTTCGGAGAAGAGTTCTACTTCTTCCAAGGGTTTTGGTTTATTTAAGTGTATAATCGTAGGAATATTTCTGAGAATAGTTCTTGTTCTTCCGAGGGTTTTAGGGCTTATTCAGGTAAAAATTGCGATTTAATTACCATTAAAAACTGGCCCATCTGGATCTTTACTTCCCAATTATTTTACTAAATCATGATCTTAGTCTGATATTGAAAGCTTTGAAGCCATTTCAATCCAACCGGAGCGATCAACCACTTTCAAAGAGCTTTTTAACGAAAATTGCAGCATTCTTTTTAAAAAATGGGGGTTTAATTCTTCCGTATATGAGCCTAATGCCATCAGGAGTGATCTTCTTTGTCAGATCTGCAACTCAAAAGCAGAGATCATGTAGCTTACCGAATGAAAAGATCTTCATTTGCCATTAAAGGTGGGTTCTTTGGTGCTTATCATCACAAGATCCCGTTCAGTTCCAGGGGAGGAAGTGTATTCGTCTTCTTCCTCATCTCATCTGCTCAAACCTTTGCTTCTTTTTTCTTTAGACATGCTGCCTCGTGCAACCTTCCATGGCGGGAACCGAGCTCCAGGAATGGACCATCCATGGCGACAGCCGGGTTCAGCAGGAGAAGGATGTTTTGGATTCTGATTACAGAAAAAAAGGGAAGATGGAGAGTGAAGATCCCGGATTTACAGTGTTTTCCGAGATCAACTCTCCTGCTTCCGGGCCGCCGGAGAGGAAGAGGACGATGGTGGGGAGGGAGTTGCAGAGGAAGCCGGAAGGCCCGTCTAACTAAGCTCTAGGGCTTCCTCGTCTTCTCTCCACGGGGGCGAGGAAGGGCTGCTACAGCTACTGTCGGCGTCTCCGTCAGCGGCGGCGGCGCCGGAGACCTCGGTTACGCAGCTCGGCTCAGAGTCCGACGCCGGCGCCGCCGCGACATCAAAGGAGCTCCTCCGCTCCTCCGCCATGAAATCGATCAAACCCGCCGTCCGGTGACCGGCGGCCTCGTCGCCAGCCACCCTCGCCGTCGCCCTCCGTTTTCTGAACACCCGGCAGAGCACCCAATCCTTCATCTGCACCATCAGATGAACTATTTCAGCCACCACAGTTGCCGGAGACGATGAAGACGATGGATGGATGAAACATGGAACAGAGAGAGAGAGAGAGAGAGAGAGAGAGAGAGAGAGAGAAGGGGGGGGAGACTGACATGGGCTTCTTCTCCGGCGCCGACGAGGCGGTATTCGTGCATGATCCAGTCAGTTCTTTCGCCGGAGGGCGCCTTGCCCCGGTAGAAGACAAGGGTCTTCTTGGCGCCGACGACATGGCTGCCGCCGCCGCCGCCGGCGAGAATCTGCTTGTCCTTGCCGGTGGCCTTCCAGTACCCTGCCCCAGAGGCTCGATTAGGGCGGTTGCCCTTCGGGTACTTGATCTCCCTGGTGCTGAAAAAGTACCTCTCCTTCTCCGGGCCACCTGTCACATGACAAGAGCCCTAGGAATCTCAGACCAGAATGAAGAAATGGAGAACCCTCATTGCGCTTCTCCACTGGCGCAGACGCGATTTCAGCACCGAATTTGATGAACCCCCTAAATCCCCCATTCCCCCACCGCCCTGACTCCTCCATTTCAATCTTCCCACAGAGATCGGTATACATCGCCCGATTCCCCGCAGAGCAACCGCCATTACCGCTCGATTCCACAATTTGGGGAGGAAACCCTAATCCGGGGAACGAGAACAGGAAGATCATCGTCTACCTCCTGTCCTTCGTCGCCCCGATCAAACCCATGAAACAGAAGAAAGGGAAACCAGAAAGGAGGCTCGCTAACCAGGAAGATCCCAAGGATCGAATCGGGAGAGCTGGATCTCGGGGATAACGGAGGCCGGCAACGGGGCGGAGAAGACCTTCCGCTTGAGGTACTCCACGACGAGCTCCTCATCCGTGGGGTGGAATCGGAACCCCGGCGGCAGCCTCACCGCCCCCTGAAACCTCGCCATTACCTCAGAATCCTCCTTAACCGAGAACCAGAGATCAGGAACTAGGGTTTGCCGAAGACGAGGAGGAAGATGCTAGTTTTTGTCTTCCAAGGGGCGTAGTTTCAGGTACTTTATAATGGTTTAGAGATGGAGAGAGAAACTAGAGAGAGACGGGGGGCGCCAATGGCGTGAAGCCTCCTCCTTGGACACGTTTCCTCCTGCAAGTGAGGTTGCCCGGCGGGAAAAGGACTTTCTTCCGCCGCCACGTAGTCGGGGATCGTACGGCGCCGCCGAGGCCGGCGGACAGTGGCGCCGCCTTTCGGACGACGGCAACCGCCGCCACGCCGCCGCCGTTGTGCCCCCCGGATGGTCGCAGGGGGGAGGGCTGTATTTTACGGGGGTTACCATTATTTCATATATGACCAAAAAACCCTTACCATCGCATCCCTCGGAGGTGGTTTTTGGCGGGCAGTTAGAGGGGATTACGGTTTTCTTAAGGGTATGTTAGGACTTTTGGAGGCGGGGCAATAATGGAGAGAGAAGGGCGGGGGGTGGCCCCCTGTTTCCGAAACGACAGACACGAGGGGAGTTAGAGGACAAGAAAGCAGACTTTCAACGATTCTTCGAGATCTTCCTTGATCTCCTACACTTCTTCTCTCTACCTCTCGCTCTCTCTCTCTCTCTCTAGCTCTAGAAAGATTTCTCCTCCCCCCCCCTCCTGTCTCTTTCTGTCTCCGTCTGTCCCCCTCCCCTCTCTCTCTCTCTCTCTGACGGGAGACTTTGGGGGCAGTCTCTCTCTCTGACGGGAGGGGCAAGGGCGGGTTTTCGGGAGAGGTAAGAGGGTGGAACGGGGAGATCGCAGGCGTTGACGGCGTCGGCGGGGAGTTTCGGCTGCCGTGAGGGGGTGGGCAACCTCCGGAGATCTAGAAAGAAGTGGCCCAGGGGCTCCCGTGTGGAGAAGGATGAACAAACCCGACTCGTCCGTCTCTCCCACTTGCAGCGGAACCCGAGAGAGAGAGAAAGAGAGAGAAAGAGGAGGGGGGGAGGAGAGTCTGAGATTGGCTTCCCTGGGCCGAAAATATGCAATCTTTTTTTCTTTTTCTTGCGGCCCTGAAGCAAGCTAGACGTACCGTTCGTTCCCGCGATCTCAGTCTATCACAATCTATTATACATCATCTCTCTCTCTCTCCCAACACGGGTTTTCTTTACTCCTATTGTGCCCGTCAAAAAAGAGAGAGGGAGAGCTATATAGAGCGAGAGGTAGATGGATAGATAGGTGGAGAGAGATAGATAGATAGAGAGAGAGAGAGAGAGTGCATGGTGGAGGATCTGGTTTTGGCTTCCGTGACCCGAAACCACGCGATCTTTCTTCCTTTAACCTGTGCAGCAAGCTAAACATACCATTCGTTCCCTCCGTTCTCTCTCTCTCTCTCTATCTCCACGGGTTTTCTTAGCTGGTGCCCATCTCTAGTCAAAAGGGTTTGCGTGCGGGCGATGGTGAGGAGAGAGAGAGGGAAAGAGAGAGAGAGAGAGAGAGAGAGAGAGAGAGAGGGAAGTGGTGCAATTATTGCTGGAGAACGCCCTCCAATGGACGTCGTCGATAAAAATAGGACTACGTCTAACACCTTCGGAGAAGAGGAGACAGGATGTGGGGAGAGGTGGGACTGCACGTGGTGGGGACGACCGTTACTTTCTCTCTCCCTCTCTCTCTCGCGCGCTCTCTCTCTTGGCAGGCAAGCCAGTGCCCCCTCCTCTTTCTCTCTCTTCATCCATTGACCTATTGGGCTTGCATCACAAAGTCCATTAGCCCAAAGCCCATTTCCTTAGGACACGTTAGCTACCCAGCCAATTAGCTCACAACCCAATAGCCTAAAAGCCCATTAACCCAAAATAACACATTAACCACAAGCCCATTGGCCCATTGGCCCATTACCCCAAAAGCCTACCAGTGATACAACTCATTAGCCACCAAAATCTCATTTGCTCCAAAAGCCCGTTGTCCCATTAAGCTCAAAAGCCTGACACACGATGATTTTTTGAGTTGTGATGCATGTATATGCTCATCTTAGGGTTTTTGACCTTTAGTTTACCCATACATTTAGGGTTTTAAAAGGTTAAACCTTTGATGTAGAACCTAGAGAAGCCCAATATTGATGGTCCATCCATTCTAGAAATGAAAAAAGAGATCCAAAAACTAATTTAGGCTCAAATAAGGTGCATGAATAATGTGCCAAAGTCTTAATTTATAATGGCCTATTTTTAAGCCATTTTGAGTTATTTTCTTAAATTATAGTCTTAGCTTCTAGCAATTTCCTTGTTTTAAAGCATTTTGAATTTGTTTCCTAAACTAATGCAAAATTTTAAGGCCATACCAACTGATTTTATACCTATTTAAAGACCAACATAGTATAATCCTAATGTCATTTTAAGTCATTATGACTTTTTCTTGTTTGAGGGTTTTACCTCTCTCTAATTAGCAATTCAAATGACCCATTATAGATTAAAGAGAATATTTAGTCATTATGGATTTAAGGATTAGCCAAAAAATCTTTGAAGATTCAAGAATTGAAGCCTTTGTAGATTCAAGACTTGGTTTCTTTGTTAACATTTTGTCTTGTGGATCTTAGGGCAAAATTTCTTTTGATGCAACTTTTGCTACCAAGAGATATTAAAGTAAGGTCTCAAGTTTTAGATTCATCAATGTGAAATCTCATGTGGATGAAGAGTTAAGCCTATTGAGTAAGTTGTCCACAAGGTAAACCTTTTATCTAAGACATAATTATATGACTTATAAGAAAATATTTAACAAAAATTTAAATATTTGCACAATAAACTGAAAGAAAGTTTTGAAAGGATTTTACAACAAAAAATGTTATTTTGTCAACATTGGATATGATGTCTCTTAAATAATTGACTAATATTTTACCAAGTTTTAATGACCATTTGATTTTTTTTATTTATTGAGGTTTAATTGGTTTATTGTCTATTAGTTAAGCTTTAATTTATTTATTGAGGTTAAACATTTTTGTATATATGAAGATTTAAGATGAAAAACTAGTGAAATTTGTGGCATAAAAATTGAAATATAGAGCATTAATATGGTGAGAACAAAGGCGCCACAAATGTGTGGGACCATTATCAATGTCAGCTTTGGGTCAATAGTGTTCTGTCGTTTTCATTCTTCTCCGTCTATGCTGCCACAAAGGCGTAAGCCTTTCTTTTGCTCTAGTTACACCTTCCTCCCTGATCTTCTTTCTTGATAAGTCAATAGGGTCATCTATTGGATTGAGAGTCATACTTCTTGTTAGGCATTAATTTGGGTTGTCAAAGATTTTTAGAAAGAATGAGCTTTTAGAAGCCCAACACTTATCTTTTAGAAGACTACGAGATAACCAAAGACAATAGAAGGCACTAAGTAATTCAAGTTTTAGGCTCGGGGTAAGGGGGGTGGTGTTTAAGGGGGGGTGATAGTTTTGTGGGCGCGGTAAATTGTTGGCCTCATCCCTAATTTAGATACAAGTTCTGTTAGCTATGGTACTTTTTTGAAACATTTACCCTTGGAGAGAAGTTACAAACCATACTTAAAAGATATATTATGTCACGAGACATGTTCCTCTCAATTATTATTAAATATTTTGTAGATATGATATCAAAGGTTGCCAGAAGGAACATGGAAGAGACAACAAGAGAGAGGTAGGGAAGGACAAAGAATAAGGTAGATAGATAGATAGATAGATAGATGGGGAGACAAAGAGCCATAGAGAAAGAAAGATGGGGGTTGTAAGTGCGCTTTTAATGAGAGATTTACATAGTTGAATGGAGTAAGGTATTCCTTTCTAGTAGAAGATAAAATGGTCACATTACAAGGAACATGATTCAATCATATTAATTTTCTTCATGTCAAAAGTAAACAAGATATATTGTCAGAATGATATTTTCCCTAAATCATATTTCATGTTTTTCTCTTTTTAACTTTTATCTAGTCAATAAAGTGATAAATGTTACGACTGACAGCAAGATGGGCTCAATAGATATGTAATTTTGCTCTTAAAAAGTTCAATAGTGATCAAATTGTAAGAAAATAAAATGATTGAGTACTACATTTTCTTAATCAACAATGATCAAAGCATAGATCTTGTTCATATAAATCTAGAATGTTGTCATTCACATAGAATGGGTTCATATAAGAGAAAATCCTTGCATACTAAGGAGATCTGCTATGTTTAATCTTGTATTTGACTCTAAATTCTTACCTATGATTAATTTAGTGCTACATACTATGAACTAATGCCAAAATAGTACAGACTCCTAATTTGGATGTCATTTACTAAATTTAGACCTACCTCATTCCTTGTCAAAAGCATTTAACATGGTGTATGAGCTAGACTCATGAAATTGGGAAAGAGTAAGACCTTTATGTTTACATTTCTATGACAGAAAGGGAAGGAAAGAGAGAAGTAAAAGAGGTAGTGAGTAGAGCGGCTGCAGGTCTGATCTTAAGAATTATAGTTGTCCATTAAGGATCCTATTTTGACTCGTTTGACTAATCTTTTAGTCCAAACCTTCAAACAAATGGTAAATCTCAAGGCATAACACAATAACTTGCATCTCAAGTTAGATATAATAGGAATATCTCGAGAAGTTTGCACTATGAATACAACCAAATTGGACTCTATGTCCAATGCTAGGTAATCATGATCTGTTCTCTTGATCCTAAGTTTCTATTATATATATTTTATGTTTGTTGTCTTATTGTGTTGACAATCTTATAGTTTATTCCATAAAAGTATTTTCTGATTTATTTTCTATTACAAAAATATATTAAATAGATTCCTAAATCCTTAGGAAAACCATTACCTATCAAAGTTATCCTTGAATTTTAAAATGTGACATTTACAAAAATAACATGTCAAAACCATATAAATGCAAATTATTATATATTCTTTCAACATCAAATGTGTGATATACACTACTGACTCAACTTGTCTTTCTAGGTTTTGTCAACATTTTATTAAATATAT